ATGAACATTGAACACCAATAAATATTCCAATAACAGAGAGAATCCTGGAGTTATAAATATAATGGCACATTCAAAAAACCCTATCGATCATTCCTTTTTCGACTGCTTAAATTGATTCACTGATAAATGGTAACGTGCATTAATATGTAAGTGATCTTGCTTTAAAAAATCAACACTGCAGCTTGTAAATTCGCATTGTGATGTCGTAACATGAACATCCGATACATAATAAGATAGTAGCTTAGCAAAACCGTGAACTCGGCCGGCGCCGCGCAAGTTTGAAATTGGGTAAACGCTATATAATACTGTATAGTTGATATTATAAACCCCTCCGGGATAGAATAAGATTCTGATAATCCCGGCTCCCGCTAAATAGATTCTGATAATCCCGGCTCCCGCTGTTAGTTTTTTCCCGCTGAATAAATAACCCCGGCACAGCTTTTATAATCCCGCCCCGCTAATTTGGCTCAACAAGATTTGTTTTGTTTTGACATTCCATGAGAATTTCAACCGCGTACAGTCACGTGTTTTGATGACGTGTATCACGTGACTAACTACTACGACGCGCATTGGTAAAAAATGTCACGTGACCTATGGCTTAACGTAAGAACTATAAATACACTCGATCTACGTATCGGTCTAATTGCAGGCGCTGGCAAAACTCCAGCACACTGCTTACATTACTTAAACTCTTACATTAATTGGACCAGTTCCAAAACTTGTCTCGACGGTTACATTTGATTTTGTCCGGTTCGATTAATTTTGTCGTGTTTGATATAAGCCATGTATTATAGTCGTCTACTTTGATAAACTTCATGACACGATATCATTATTAGCTTTTATCGCTTGCCAGGCTTAACTCGACGCCCCTTATCGATATTCATATTCATTCAACGTTCTGACTGAGGAATAATGTTTAGATATAACGCCAATTTCAAAAGTCATAGTACCTTAGTTGTATTTATTTGGTAGTCCCCAATTCCATTTCATATTTTCCATAATGATCTCATATAGCTATATTTAAGAGTAAAATGTCAAATTTGTTGGTCCTAGCACTAACCCGGAGGGGTTTATAACACATAACACCGGCACGCTTAAGTTATATTAAAATAACCCCTCGTGCTAAAGCACGTCGGGGTTATTTTCATAATATTAATAATCCCTCGTGCTTCGCACTCGAAATTATTATAAACTTTTCCCGCGCGTCGCGGGAAAAATTGAAATATAATCCCTGCGCATGCCGGGGTTATGTGTGTTATATACTATATTAATATAATAATTCAAGAGACGTACACTTCGAATTGACACACGCTGTATAACTATACCTCTTTTTGCGCGCGAAGCAAACTTCGAACTGTGCACGGTTTAAATTTTAATTATATTTATATAAACGACTCAGATTATGCACGGTTCAACAGTTTTCACAAACACTATAACATTCAACCGTGCGAAGTTGAAACTGTGAATCGTAACCGATATGGTTCACAAGCCAACAAGTTACAAGTACCGTGAAAACCACGATCGAGTACCGTGAGCCAGAGACTAGCAAGCTAGCAAGCCGTGAGCCATTACGTTGGGCTAATACTAATATCAATAGTAATAAGTTACTGCTAACTCACAGTCACATGAGCTAACACTTAAAACTTACTATATCAATATAACTTGCTACATCTAGACGTGCTACATGAGCTAGTATATTACTATAGTATTAGTAGTACCACAGCTGCTGCTCATTCCATTGACGCGTATGCGTCTAGTTTACAGTTTACTGTTATACTCTTTGATATGCCGAAGAGAAGATTAGTTAACATATAAGTAATAATTAATAATTAAGAGAGCAAATGTGGACTTTATTATACTAGTATATTATATTATTATATTTTATTATACTAGAGTGTAGAGGTAAGTAAATTGTTACAGCTGTGAACATGTCAATTGTCAATTGTCAAGGTTAAGTGTGTAATATCTATCAGAGATAAAACAAGATCAATGGACATCTTCATCATCATAACATGTTATTGTTACCTTGTTGTGTTGTGTGTAGAAGAAGCCGCATAATAAATGGAAAGTATCAACGCACAAAAGGGTTTAAATTTTTAAATCTCTTAAGAATGAACTAAACTAAAGAAATAAAATTGTTACAACTTTGAGCAGTTTAATGTTTAATATCTTATGCAACGTGGATCACAAACTGGAAACTAACAGTATTACTATTAGTAACCATAGCTAGTAACCATGGTTACCATTACAGTAACCATATAGTAACCATGTTGATCTACATAAATGACAGCGAGGATGATTATAAAAGGAACGTGAGTGGAGTTTAATTTTAAATCTTTAAATCTGATCTAGACGAGGGCCAAGCAATTAAAGGAGACACGGGTTGCTAGTAAACGTGCGTTGCTAGGAGACGCAGGTATGTCATTATGGTGTCACTTGATGAATACAGGAATAATTGACACTGCAGTGAGTATGTTACTGATGCTCGAATAGTCGAATCTGCAGACTGATTTCAAATTATATGCATGAATTAGATGAATTATGCACATAAATCATATTTATTTCTGCATTCAGCTGTTTCATTGTCCCTGAAGTTCTGTTGAAATTGTTGAACATTTAAATATTCATAATTACTTCTTATGTCTAATCGGTGTGGTTCAAAATCGATGCATATCGATAAAATTTACCCTGGGTCACGGGCACGCTTTATCATATCGCGGTACGTGTCAGGATCACAAAGAAATAATAAATGATAAAATCGAAAATATTTCGTGCATGTATTTCGAATTATTCAGTGAGAATTTTAAGATAATCTGTAGCAAAAGTTTATTAATGCATTTTGCGGTGGAATTGAAAGAAATAATAAAATATAGAACTGAACATATTTCCTTGAATTTACTTCCAATTATTCAGCGAGAGTTTGTACCAAAAAGAGGTTGAATAATGCATTTTGTGGTGCAAATAACTGGGATTAATTTCGAAAACACAAAATATGGCAGGCTTAAACAGAACTAATTCACAATAAACTCCTTAATACTTGTTTTTCCTTTGACAGTGAATTGCAAAGATGCGTGCTGGAAGGGCTTTGTGACAGTAAAGTTTTTAAAGTTCACCCGAGGTACTAGAATTACACGTGTGACGTGTGACATTAAGTTGTGTGACGTGTGACAGTTGTGTGACAGTTGAAGCGACGTGTGACAGTTGAAACTACGTGATACACCAAAATACACATCCTTATTTCTTGAAGTTTAGTGTTTTTGCACTCCTAGTCTTATATCCTTTTAACCAATGGTGACCTTCATTCGAAAGATAAAATGACCATTCTCCCATAACCAAACCCGGTTAAAAAAACCCAATGTTAATTTCACCAAGCTCTCTAAAATCTGACTTGTGACGCTAAAATGTGACAGGTATACTCCAGCCCTAACACTTTAGTTTGATAACGACGAATGATTGCGGAGGTTCGCACCCTCCCAAGGTTAATTGCCTGTTATTTGGAGGTGTGAGGCAGATTATCATTACGACACCTCTTTTAGCCCCCACTCCCTGCAGTAGTGATCCTAACGAGCCCAGGCTACGCGCTAATTACAAACCATTAGGCTGCTGTAATAGGTTTATAATTATAAGATTCACAGCTCTTCAGGATGGAGGATTAAGCTTATTGTGCTTAATATGTGATCCTTGTAACAATTAATCGGATTAATCAATATACACCTCCTTATATGGCCATCACGTGTTCAATTCAATATTGAACTGAGTCTAGTATTATCCCCATAAAATAAGTCGAATTTATTGCAGATTTTCGCAAAAAAGATTCGAGGCAAGTTGCATAGTTGATAATCAAAACATCTGAGGGGGTAAAATAGTAACAAATTCTAATGAAAAAAGTGCGGACAGTGAGGGAGAAATGTTCGGCAAGTCGGAAGAACCAGGAGGACAGACAGGAAATAACGAAGAATTTAATCTTACGGTAAAATATTCAGTCTGACATGTTGGGATTAAATGGCAAAGACTTATTCTACGAATATGTCCAGCCGAAAGTTCGTAACAAAAACGATGGTCGGAAGAAATTAAATAAGTAAATGCCAGCGAGCACTTATTATTATCTGGTAAAACACACCTTAAATACCGGCCAATATTGACATTATCACGTGACAAAAACCAGCCAATCAGGGGCCAGCATCCTTAGTCACGTGATACATTTCCACCAATAATGCAGCAGCTGGAGTGCCCATAATTTGAGAAGCTGCTTGGAATTAGTCTCACGACTCACATTCAACAGACTCACATTCAACGTAAATGAGTGAAGTAGTACAACACCGGTAACCATGGTAACCATGGTAACTATGGGCCATAGTTACCATGGTAACTCTAACTCTATCACGGTGCGTGTCGAAGGGCTGCAATTAATAATATTAAATACAGCTTTAATAATACATAATTACAATAATTACAAGGTCACCTACTGAATGGGTCTAAGTATTTGGTATTGGGCATATTCTTGAAAAATATAGAAATATTATTAAACAGTTCAGTTGGACTATGTAATTATGCCCCAATTATACGCTTTCATAATGCTAGGAGTACAATTAACGCTGGGTTTAACAGGGAACACTAATTATTAATTACAGCTTTCGTTTTCACTTTATAACAAAACATCTAATCACTGACTCTGTAATAGAACACCGGTAACCATAGTAACCAACCTCTTACCACGTGTTTAACTCTACTGGTAACTTTAGACACGTGACATTCTCAGTTATTTAATAAAACACGTGATGCCCATATAAGGTACCACTTATAATCAGAACCTAATCCCACCAGGTGAATTGTTTTCCTGGCGTAAATATTATAAAATTGCAGACCTTCTGATTTTGGATTTCTGTAAAGTTTCAACTGGCTTGAAATTGGAAGTTTATTCGTTTAGAAGTACCAGACAGTAAAGCTGGTCTAAACGTTTCTGTAGAATTTGTTCAGACAGTAAAAATAAAACACTCGAATAATGTGTGTAAACTTTATTTAGTTAAACGTCAAAAAAGTAGAACAACACCAGTAACCATGGTAACTACGTACAATTCAAATACCTGTAACTCTCTAAACATCAGAATAGCTACAAGGGTAACACAATAATATATCAAAGTTTCTGTATAATTTCAAGGAGGACGTAACACGGGTTTTAAGGCTACATTTTACACATCGCACCTTTGTGTTTTCAGATCAGTAACACACGTGACTAACTGCACGTGACAGATGCTGGAACCCTATGGTAGAATCCGGGGAAATACTAGGGATATTAGATGAATCTGTAAATAACTTAATCCCCACCTTGCTATACATTAATAATATTAATAATGCGACACTCTCTTAGTTAAACTATGCGAAAAATTTCCCAAGCAGCATTATAAACGTTTCTCATATAGTGGGTACTAAATTTCGTAATTTAGAATACATTTTCAATATTATATCGAACATCAGAATTCCGAAAAAAAATCACAATAAACTCTGGACATAAAAACTCCCAATTTCTATTTCCCGAATTGTATATCGGAGTAACTGTGACATTACCTTATATGGGCATCACGTGGTATAATATTTAAAGTATGTTATTACAAACCGATCTAATTGGCAGCAGGCAATAAAGACGTGACTATCTAAAGGTAGCCCTAACGTCCTAAACATAGCGTACAGTCCTCAGAGGTGGTTAAAACTTATCCCGTCTTAACAATGCCACACGTGGTATTTTGACTTAACCTTATATGGGCATCACGTGGTTTACAAGATTCAACCCTCTAGGCGTTCTCAGAAATACAATCTTAATAAAAATCCGGCTTTACAAATTCATATCATTAAGTGTCATGGATGAGCGTGATCAAGACAGATCTTAGGAAAATCACCCTAAAAATGTCACTACAAAAAGATATTATCTAAAAATCAACATCACTCATAACTAATCATAATGATGAGGTCATTATGAACACCATTATTATGATCACAATTATGATTAATAAACAGTAACTGATAACCCAGACAACAAACATTGATCTTACGAATATTCTGAATCTGACACAAAGTATTAAAAATATCATTATGTAGCCCACGTGATTATTTGGCCCACGTGATTATGTAGCCCACGTGATTATTAAGCACACGTGATCATGTAGCCCACGTGAATCTAAGATATGAAAGGGGCAAATATCGGGTAACGAATTGTGATCTTAAATATCGACGTTAATGTTGTAAACGTGTCATTGATATTTCCGTCTTCAAATTTTAATAGTTGCTTGTATAGATACGGTCAAATTCTAATGAAAAAAGATGAAGTGCAGACAGTGAGGGAGAAATCTTCGGCAAGTCGGAAGAACCAGGAGGACAGACAGGAAATAATGAAGAATTTAATCTTACGGTAAAATATTCAGTCTGACATGTTGGGATTAAATGGCAAAGACTTATTTTACGAATATGTCCAGCCGAAAGTTCGTAACAAAAACGATGGTCGCAAGAAATTAAATAAGTAAATGCCAGCGAGCACTTATTATTATAGGTAAAACACACCTTAAATACCGGCCAATATTGACATTATCACGTGACAAAAACCAGCCAATCAGAAGCCAGCATCCTCAGTCACGTGATACATTTCCACCAATAATGCAGCAGCTGGAGTGCCCACGTGACCGGCAACTAGAGGGTAATTCCGGGGAATCTTGGCACTATCCATCTACATCTCCTTATATGGGCATCACGTGTTCGGTCTTCGCACTATATCCAGCGAGACAGAAAGGGAGAGTATATTGCTGTAATATTGGGGAGAGAAGAGGAATGCGGGAGTGGTGAAACAAGGGTGAAACTGGAGCTTACGGGAGATGGGCACGTTATGTTCAGTCACGTTACACAAACCAGCCAATCAGAGGCGGGTATTGGAGATGGGCACGTTACGCTCAGTGGAGTTGGCAAGTTAAGGAGGGTAACATAAACTCCATGGCTAGAATATTGGGGATAAGGTCAGAAACTAGGACTTGAAACTGGTGATGGGATCAGAAACTAGGGCTAGAACATTGGTGATAAGATCAGAAACTAGGGCTAGAACATTGGTGATGGGATCAGAAACTAGGGCTAGAACATTGGTTATAAGATCAGAAACTAGGGCTAGAACATTGGTGATGGGATCAGAAACTAGGACTACAAAACTGGTGACTACTGACGGGTTATTAGAATTCACCTAGATGAGACCATATAAAAGCGTATTAAATAACCTTATATAACAACCATGGTACATAAGGCTTGTCTTAAAATGTTAGCAAATAGTTGACCAAAAACTTCATCAAATGTCATATCAAATACCAGAAAAAAACAACACTTAATATTGTAAGATACTAAACATTTGAAATTCTGTTGTCCCATTAGCTGATTAGCTAATTAGCTATTCTCGACTAGTTGCTGTAATTAGTACGTTTCCTAACATTGCTGTACGCTGTTTCTTCATTTTCTGCGTGTCTTAGCTAGTTTACAAGTTGGATTTAGATGACGTCACGTTTTGGGTGATGACGTCATTTGGTCGACACATGGTTCTGTATCACCTGAAAGTAAAGGAATGTAATAATTATGAGCACTGATAATTATGAATATTGAAATATGGATATATACGCTGTTATCACCATTTTTGATTATACTGTAAGCGTTTTAAAAGTCCATTTAGTCACTGTCCACTGCAACTTTTACTTAAGATTCAATTTACAACAACGCAATCATAAATTCTATCATCGTACGTGCATGAGATAGTTCTACAACATTCGTTGCAATCATTACAAAAAACCCTGATTCGCGTCACTAAAGTTTACCTAAAGTTTACTGTCTAACTAAGGAGTACCAATAGTTTAGAAATATTTACCGGTATTACAAGAAGCCATACCAACAGCAGCAATGTTTAATGAGAGAGCAGTGAAACCTATCACGTCATATAATTGCAATAAGTAAGATTTGGCCAACTTTGACGTATAAAGGTATAAGGGCCCGACACACTGCGACCTTGTCACGAGAACAGGCCTCTAAACGACCTCTAAACGACCTCTAAACGACCTCTAAACACACTGTGCCATTTGTCACGTGTGTCGTCACGTTTAACATGATTGTTAAGAGGAGCAAAGCTGCCTGTTAAGGTTACTTTTACTATCGATTTTTTTGGTATCAGTGGAGATTCTCTAGCTTCAGCTGATTGGACAAGTCTGGAAGAGATCGCTACCTTTACAAGTCTACGTTCCGGGGGGGGGGGGGGGGGGGGGCTCACTGCCTAACAGCCACCTAGTTGTAGCCAACATTGGCTCAGATATTTGTGACATATTATATTTGGACACCATCATATCACTTAACATTGAACCAATAATAAACTAACTGATCAGAGCAGCTATCAAGGCAGCTATCAAGGTTTCTTGGTGCAATATAGTCTTAGGTTCTGGTATTATTGAGAGTGAAGATCACTTCCTTAACCATTGTGATCTTAACGCCGCATCGAGGCGAAAAGTCCTAGACAAGATCCAGTCAATCATATCAAATCCAAACAAACCATCTGCGACATCTTATCCTGTTCACGCTGTCATCCCTGGATCAAACGTTCTCAAACTCATCAGCAACAACAGTGAAATCATTGAATTAATCACGAACGAAAGTCAAGTCCACCTCACGAGAGTCGTTGCTAGATTTGCCACTACGTGTTTTAACAACCGCAAGAAATTCGTCGACTCTCTGGCCAGTACATGAATATTAAACATCACTGTACCAGCGCTGTTTCTTTTCGCGCAATGATGAGTGCAGAGTGACCTGGCTCAAGCATTACAGCATTACCAAGGCGACTGTAAACAAAATATTTATTGTCAAAATCTTTATTTTTCACTTTGGTTTATATTAAGTTATATAATATAATAAATTTAAATCATATGATATTGTTATTATCTTAACAGTTACTATTGTAACTAAAGATTTTAAATTTGTATTCCTTGTATTCCTTGTATTCCTTGTATTCCAAACCAGCCAATCAGAGGCTAGCATCCTAAATCACGTGATACATTTCCACCAATCATGCAGCAGCTGGAGTGCCCACGTGACCGGCAGGGTAATTCTGGTGATAAAGTACATCTCCTTATATGGGCATCCCGCATCACGTGATAAAGTACCTGTGTTTTGATGAGGAGGGGGAGTTGTGTTCGGAGGAGTTTGGAGTTAGATAGTGAGCCACTTCCGCGTTCTCGTTATCTGAGTCTGATTCCGGCGTGAGGGGCTGCGACTCCTGGGAAATTGTTTGTTATTCTCGTGAAATATTAAAATCACGCGATTATAATCACACAAATTATAATAGCATTAATTTTCACAAGTGAAATGTTTGTCTATTGTTGGTGTGGACTGGTGTGATATAACAGGGGCCGGGTGTGATATAGCAGGGGCCGGGTTTGATATAGCAAGGGACTGGTGTGATATAGCAGGGGCCGGGTGTGATATAGCAGGGGCCGGGTGTGATATAGCATGGGACTGGTGTGATATAGCAGGGGACTGGTGTGATATAACAGGGGCCGGGTGTGATATAGCAGGGGCCGGGTGTGATATAGCAGGGGACTGGTGTGATATAGCAGAGGCCGGGTGTGATATAGCAGGGGACTGGTGTGATATAGCAGAGGCCGGGTGTGATATAGCAGGGGCCGGGTGTGATATAGCATGGGACTGGTGTGATATAGCAGGGGACTGGTGTGATATAACAGGGGCCGGGTGTGATATAGCAGGGGACTGGTGTGATATAGCATGGGACTGGTGTGATATAGCGTGGGACTGGTGTGATATAGCAGGGGACTGGTGTGATATAGCAGGGGACTGGTGTGATATAGCAGGGGCCGGGTGTGATATAGCAGGGGCCGGGTGTGATATAACAGGGGCCGGGTGTGATATAACAGGGGCCGGGTGTGATATAGCATGGGACTGGTGTGATATAACAGGGGCCGGGTGTGATATAGCATGGGACTGGTGTGATATAGCATGGGACTGGTGTGATATAGCAGGGGACTGGTGTGATATAACAGGGGCCGGGTGTGATATAGCAGGGGACTGGTGTGATATAGCAGGGGCCGGGTGTGATATAGCAGGGGCCGGGTGTGATATAGCAGGGGACTGGTGTGATATAGCAGGGGACTGGTGTGATATAGCAGGGGCCGGGTGTGATATAGCATGGGACTGGTGTGATATAGCAGGGGACTGGTGTGATATAGCAGGGGACTGGTGCACACTGCAAGTTTGTTTTAACACATGAGAGCCATCAACCAATCACTAATCAACTTGCAGAACCAGCCAATAATATTGCAGAATCACGTGTCAGAATAGACCTGTATCACACACACGACGATCAGCGTTGATCAACTTTATGATTAATCAACAATTTCATCAAATTATGGACATTATAAATCAACATGTTCTGTTTCCAGCAAATGAAAGTATTGGTCTCCAGTGACAATCTATACGTTAAAATAACACCACTTCGATATGCATACTTATAGTGCGTTAAAAATTGAATTATATTAATTTCAAAACATTTATTAATCAAGATCATAAACATCCCGAAGTCACGTGATACAAAACAACCAATCAGAGGGCTGCATTCTGGTCACGTGATACAAAACAACCAATCAGGGGGCTGCATTCTAACCTGAAGTTCGTACACATCATGTAAGAGGGGTATTGCGTTAAAATGGGTCTGAATGTGATGTCGATCCTTTTTGTCAACATCTTCGAAATCTTTCAACTGCTGAGCTGGCTGGTCCTTTAGTACCTAAGGTGGTTATTTTACAATTAATAAAACTAGAAGTAAGAAATGGTTACGAAAGTAATGGGAATTCACATAAATAATGGCGATGAGGTGATCCATATTTTCGCTGAAATAATTCTACATTTAAATCCGAACTCTAATACGGAACTCTGCGTGTAAGACTTTTAAAACGAACCTGCGCATAAGGCTGCATCCAGTGACGACAAGATATGAGATCATCCCAACTGTAACCAGTAACCTCCTTCAGTTTGCTGGGGACCACTAACCATAGTGCACTAGCCGCGATCATACTCGGCCTGCAACCATCAAATTGTTAGCTTTAAGCTTATTGTAAGTTGTAACATTGGATATTGGGAAAAATGTGAAAATTGTAACAGCTCAGCGAGATATTAGCGAGATATTAGGGGTGGGATATTGCAGGGATTTAGACGCCCACTTTTTAGGATTTCTCGGGTAAATGCAAATGTCAATGATACCCACAGGGTTGAGAAAACACAAATTTGTCGAATTTGACTGATTATGAATAACTAGTAAGGATAAAGGAAGTAATTAAGTAATAAGTACAATTAATCACCTATACTCGACGCTCTTAACATCAAGGGAACACAGGTCAATGAGTTGGATTATCTTCACAAAGTCGGACTGTGAGTATTCTGCTCTCAGAAACTGGAACGTAGTGCAACTGATACCTGAAGTAAAAATTGTATAGCCAATGAGAGGGAAGTATTCTAGTCACGTGACACAAACTAGCCAATGATAAGGGAAGTATTCTAGTCACGTGACACAAACTAGCCAATGATAAGGGAAGTGTTCTAGTCACGTGACACAAACTAGCCAATGATAAGGGAAGTATTCTAGTCACGTGACACAAACTAGCCAATGATAAGGGAAGTATTCTAGTTACGTGACTGATAAAATAGCAACTGTTATCATGCCACGTGACATGCCACGTTTCAGTTCATTCACCAGATTAACGAACAGTAAATGAGTAAACAATCGCTTGATGTAATCGACCACCTCAAAGCAAGTTTGGGAATATATGTACTTATTTAGTGATAAGATGATTCAGCTAACTGGGTCGGGTAAACATTTGACCGGATGAGGTGGCGACAACTTGTTGATTGATTGGGAGTCATGAATATTTTGGGTGTTACTGTGCGATCCGCCCTAAATGATTGATGGTGCATTGGTGCAGCAGCAGCATGTCAACGGTTCCTACACCACTACAGCTGATAACTACAATAGTGTATAAAAAGATAGGTATCTCACATAGGTACATCCAATCATCCACGAGTAAGAAAGAAAAGAAATGTGTAACTGTAACGATTAGTTTTGACTGGAAAGTTTCACTAAGTCAAGGGTTAAAGAAACTGTATTGAGGGGTCTAATAAAGTAATAACTTACCTCTGTAGTATTCTATTTGTAAGTAGAGGTTTAACCACGTGTTAACGGTGAGCGCTGCAAGTTTCCAGTCCAGTGCCTGAACGATCACACCGTGTTAAACCACGTGTTAAACCACGTGTTAAACCACAAAGTTACACAACAATAGGTGAGATCCCAAGATAGATCGAGGGAGCGTTTGTTTTTACACGTGTCACGTGGTAATATAATCGAAGTGAATCATAAAGTTGCCCTGGAGAGGGACTCACTTTCATCATTTCAAGTTCCATTTTCCACATCGCATCTTTAGAACAGGAGTTGTCAGTGATGTAGGACAACTTTTCCAGGCCTGGTGGGTAGATCTCCTGAAAAATGTATAATTTGAGAAAAATGTATAACTTATGAATAATTAATGTATAACTAAAGATTTACTCGAGGAAGAACATCAAAAGCAACCTCAATAATTGCACCATTGAGGTAACAGTTGTGCTTTTCCGGGTTGAGCTTCTTTTTACGACCATTTTAACATTCGGGATTAAGGATTATGGTCGTTAGATATGCCAATGACTCTCAATCACGATTATCACAACACAGTCACTACACGCAGTAATAACCATTGTAAGCTCGGAAATAAGTACATAATTACCACAAACATTCCTTGCGCTGATCATTTTGCTAGGTCCACTTATGCCCATATAAGGAATAATACGGGAGTACACACGAACTATACACAGAGGAAATAGAGTACATTTCGTGTGTTGAAGGGGATGTACAATGAAGCGAGGAGAGAGAGAGAGTAGGTCTATAAATAGAGCGCGGAGGCCGTTAAGTCACAACCCTTTAACATAATGCGAGTTCGGGAATTGGGTTTGGGGAATTAGGTTCCGTTCTCAAGAATTTGAGAACGCGCGTGCTCAAGATTGGCAGTTATGACAAAGAAATGGGGCTCAAATCACGAGGAATTCGTTGATTTTTTGATCTGAAACTGTTTGCAGGTATACGGAGAGGAAATAAGGTCTGAAAATGTTTTGAAAAAATGAAATCATTTCAAAAAGCTGAGCAGAGAAAAACATTTGGCGCCTTTATTATTGCGAAATGCCTGTAGTGACGACTTTTAGCGCAAGCATGCGGTTAGGCAAGCGCGCGTTCCATACGAGAGACAAAAGCCGTTAGTTGGAGAGTTCGCGCCATTTCCTACACAGATGGAATGTACGAGAGCTATGTTTCTTACCGCCAAATCATTCGGGAGGAAGGAATTATGACTAAATATGAGGCACAGGAACGTGAAAATTGTGACAATCCCAGGTCTATTTGTCCGCACTAAAGATATATCTACATCAATTGATTGAATTTAATTCAGTAATACGTGTATTATAACATGTAGCACAGCCTACTACGGGTAGTAGTAGGTGACACGTAAATAGTTAAAATGAATACATTACCTCTAACTTAGCAGCCATGTGTAACGCTGTTATGCCGACTAACTGGAGCTGATCTTTTTTAATGTCAGGCCTTTTTGATATAAACCTGGGGAGGGTTTTGGTAATTTAGAATGGGGTTTATTTTAGAAGAATAAAGATTTTTAGAAGTAAACACTGCAACAGGATACTCAAATTGCCTGAAATTGAGTTTTGATGAATGTCATACATTGGTGTTGAATTCTAGGTTTCTTGGAACGTTAAGGTGAGCTGTGGTACTACACCCAATTAGCAATTTCTTATCTCCCAATCAAACACAAGCAAATCAAGCTCTTTTAACATGTATACGCGGTTTTACACTTCATCAATTTGAAAACGATTGTGTTAACAGTTTCTTATACAACCCAATTATTACATGTTACAATCCCAATCGGGTTTAAATTCCAACCGTGTGAAAAGATCGGATGAATAAAATGACGTTATGACATCGTGGTACAATCCAAGTGTAAAGTTTGCACGAGATAAAGATAATTTTAAAATTACGAAAAGGTGCCCACTCAACATTCCTTTCTCTGGTGTGGTATTCGGAATAACTTCTGTTCTAGATAGCATTATTGCAATACATAAGATAACTCCGCTTGGTGCATGATAAAACTAAGAGGAATAAGGTAAAGTTGATGTGTAGCGGATTTATTTTTGGTAATGATGAAAGTTTTAGAAACACACCAAACTTTAAAGATGTTGATCATGACGTGATATGGTTAGGAGGTTATATTAGATTACCGGGAAATGAACATGATGAAACAAATATAATCGTGATATAAGTTGGGATATTATAAATTTATGCTTATATCGCGTGAATCAAAACATGAAATGACACAAGTACTAAAATAACATTAAATTATGCGAATAAAGCATGAATATGAAAAATATTCAAGTTATTTAGAAATTAACTGTTACCTGTCAATGTAGTCCATGGATAGGTAGAACGTTTCCCGCTTCAAGCAATATAACTGTGATACCTGCAAAACGAGTACTTATTAAATATTTATTTATTAAATATTTATTAAATAACATAAACAGAATTTATGTTAAAGCTACGTGTGCGATATATTTAGTAAAAATAAAGAAATTCGACATTAGATACATATTAAATAATCACTTCTTAATAAATAAATAAATAAATAAATTCTAACATTTATTACACGCTTCGACATTAAAATATACCCAACAAAGATGTACATTAAAGTCATTCAAGCGAGACTTAGTGTTGAAATAGCAAGATTATGGACTTTTTAAACAGTTCAGATTTTATGAACAAATATTTGTATGAAGTTACCAAAATTATGCACTTTCATATCAGTTCAGACATTATGGACAAATATTAGAAATATTATCAAAAGCTAGTTGGAAATAAAACGTCTTTAGGGCATTTTTAAAACATTCTACAGATGATAATGATCTCACTGAGTAGGGTAGTTCATTCCAAATTTTTGGTCCACAAAACATAAATGCAGCATCTGTTCGTCTGAAATGAGGAGCAGGAGGAACTTTCAACAAATAAAAGTCATCATCTAGTCTGGAACTTTGTCTTCGTACTTCCCTTAGATTGACGTGTCCTTGTAAGTACTGAGGGGCTATGTTATTAAGACACTTGAAGACCAGAAGTGATATTTTGAACTTAATTCTGAACCGAACAGGCAGAAAGTGGAGCTTTTTGAGGTAAGGCATGATAGGTTCACGTATCTTTTTTCCGTAAAGACCAAAGATAAATCTAGCAGCATTGTTCTGTATCTTTTGTAGCTTATGAAGATTCTTTTCTGTTAGTCCATAATAGACTGAGTTGCAGTAGTCTATGAAACAGAGGATATTGGAGTGAACTAGCTGAACTTTTAGGTCATGGGAAAGCTTCGAACCGATTCTTGCTAAGTCCCTTTGATTCAAATAACATACTTTGGAGACAGCATTTATTTGAGAGTCCAGATTCATTTGGTGATCGAAAAGGAATCCCAGGTTCTTGGCCTTGCTAACAGGGCAGATTGAGAGGTCTCCTAAATCCATTGTCTGGATTGGGCTGACATATGGTCCTATATCAATGAACTCTGTTTTTTCATCATTCAGTTTTAGGAAGTTAACTGTCATCCATTGCTTTATCTCCAGAAAGCAATTTTTCACAGCTGTTAAATCAGGATTAGAACTGTGAACATCAAAAGTAAAGTACACCTGTGTGTCATCTGCATACAAATGTATCGAGAAACCATATTTTGTGACAATTTCTTCAAGATCTCTGGTATACAATATGAACAGTAGTGGTCCTAAAATGGATCCTTGAGGTACACCAATATCCAGATAGCCTTCAGAAGATGTGGCTTTTTTTACTTTAACCTTGAATGTGCGATTATTAAGGTAACATTGTAACCAGCTGAGTGCTAGTTCTGTAATACCATACGCATTCTTGAGTTTCGTAAGAAGGAGGTTATGGTTTATGGTGTCGAAAGCAGCTGATAGATCTAAGAGTAGAAGCACAACATTCGATTTGCTGTCAATCATCATTAGAATATCATTATGTATTTTGGTAACTGCAGTTTCACAACTATGGAATTTTCTATAGCCTGATTGATATGGGGAAAACAGGTTGTTGACATCAGCATATTCATTTAATTGGCAATGAACTACTTTTTCTAGTATTTTGGACAGATAAGTTAGATTGCTAATCGGTCGATAGTTTTTCAGCTCATCAACATCTAAGGTAGGTTTCTTGAGTCCAGGCCTAATAGATGCTTCTTTTAGGGCAGATGGAAACTTTCCGACTCTTAGTGATTCATTCACGATGTAATGGATGATTGGGAGAAGCTCGGGTAAGCAGTTCTTGAAGAGCCACATTGGTATGACATCGAGTACGCTTGATTTATTGGGAAGACTCTTAATTAAGGTTTCAAGGTCTGATAATGAGACTTCCTTAAACTGATTAAGTCTACACTTTGCATTATCTATCGAAGTAGAGTCCTTGGTACCTTGACCGTTTAGGGAAGTGTTTTGAATTTCCTTCTCAATATTAGAGTAAATGGTCTTTACTTTTTGATCGAAGAAAGTCTTGAGTTTGGCAGCCACTTCGATATCTTCACCATTTGGCAATTTGTTGGAGCCATATTCCTTATCTAAAAGTTTATTTATGACTTTATAGGTCCCTTTCGAGTCTCCTTTGCAAGAACTGAGCTGTTTATCATAGTAGCCATCCCTAGCTCGATTGATAGTGATTTCTGCGTCAACACATTTTTCAAAATGAGTAGTTTTAAACTCATCATTCTCTGGATACTTTTTGGCTTTTCGTTTTGCCCTTCTCCTCTCTCTGACAGCAATTTGACATTTAATATCCCAAAAATCAGACTTTTCAGCAGTAAATCGTTTCGTAATAAGTGGGGCATGTTTGTCTAGCACCTGTTCAAGGACATTTTGATAAAGGTTCACAGTCTCGTCTAAGGATTGATATTCAGAAAGGTTAAGCTCTGAACAAAACAGATCTTCCCTGAACTTATCGATGTCAATTTTGCTTAGCTCTCTGACATCTTTTTCTTCATATGTACGAGCTTTATGAAGATCGAATGTGACTGGGACCTGAAAACTTACTAGATAGTGATCAGAGCTGGTTCCAGTGCTTGTCTCTACCATCATATCTGTTACAGACAATGAGTCACTTACACAGCCTAGAGTAAATAACAAGTCCAGTGTCCCGCCGGAGATGTGAGTAGGAGAGTCGACATGCTGAAGGAAGCCTTTGCTCTCACAAAGAGCAATAAAGTTCTGGGCAACATTAATCACTAATGATTTAAGTAATACGACTTACTATGTTAATTAAAAATAGCAACGTGACTGCCTGGACATTTGCTAAGGGGTAAATTCATAACGACCTGGATCAATAACTAAGTATTGAACGTTATTGATTGTTATCTAATAACTTTACCCCGATTTGCTACATAAGACAGTAATCAATTCTCGAACAGATCGTCTTAAGAATTACGATAATTTGAAAGTTTTAATACTTTCAACATTAACACTACTAAAATTATTAATTATATGTATAACAAACAATTCTGTTGCTGACGATCTGCGACAACATTTCACCTCAGATGATTTTTGTTAAAGTTTACAAGAAGAGTTGTTACTCTCACTCGTTGTATGATGGCAAAAACTTCTATTATTGTAACATTTGAACGTTCGAAATGAATTTAAACCACCTTTTTAAGATGTTAAAATTAAATCTAAAGATGATATACTTCGAATGCTACATTACAACGATTTGCCTAGATAGGGGGGGGGGGGGGGGGGATCATGAGTATTTTTGATATCAGATGATCTCAAATACGGTGCACTAAATATGTTTTTTATAAATTCGTCAAAAATCGAATTATTCAGTTCAGTTGGTATGGTGATGATGTCAATTCCTCTTTAATCATTGGTGTTACAAAATTATAACATAACTGAAATTTACATGTAACCAATATTTTAACATCATCAATATCATTCAATATTCATTTTAGACGGAGTAAAATACTGGGTAACTAGTAACACCAAACTCTCCTGATACGCAACAATTCGATTAATTGTAGCAACATTGTGAGCAAAATTGCAGCAAAACTCGTGACGTGAGAAATTAAGCTAAATCGTTTCGATTGAAAGGAGCGAGGTACAACTCCCATTGCAAAACAGTTGAACACTTTATATCACAAATATTTGACGTAACAAAGCTAACTTGTGACGTTATGATTATCAGTTACCTAACAACCATTAGGTTACCTAGCAATCATTAGTTTAAGAGCTCTCTTAGTTTTATTTTTACGGTAATCACTAATCACACACGTAAACAAAACTGCACTTTGTTAATCGTTTTAATACGTGAAGAAGAAAAATTTTATTTAGGACGAATAGGTGGCCTTTCTTCGTTCTATAACATAAATAGAACCTTTATTTATTTATAACATTTAGACCGGCAATGAAAACTAAGGACCTTTCAACCATTTCTAATTGTATACATATTTTACTGACATGATTTTTATCATTAACAAATATTACTGATTAATTATCCGTCATTATCCTAATCATTAATTAGGGTAATCAATTAGTAATTAACCAATTAACTGACCTCAATTAACCAATCTAGTAGGATAGCTCGAGCTCCTTGTTTAATGTGGGGATGTTGGAGTATCCCTAACTTAGACGCTTGCCTCTTTTCCTCCTGTGGGTAAAATGCTATCAAAATATGTAGAAAATTAGTAAGTTAGCGGTTTAATTAATTAGCAATTCAAGCAGTTCAAGTTTAGATTTGCGATTAATACGATAAATAATATTTACGGTTGGTTACTAATATTTACGGTTGGTTACTAATATTTACGGTTGGTTACTAATATTTACGGTTGGTTACTAATATTTACGGTTGATTGGTTACTAAGCGTAGAATTGTGATAAAACACTCATATCTTAAACTAATAAAAACAAATTTTTATTGTATTTCCTCAGCCAATAAAAGTAAATAAATAAAAATAAAAGGAATTAAATAAATAATAATAATTATTGATTAATTCATTAATTAATTAACTAAATAAAGTACCTGGTGTTTTAACCCAGCCCAGATCTTGTCATTTGCCGCGAAATTGAGTGGTGGAAGAGGTATAACGACAGTGGAGGGTATCTGACTACTACTATAGGCCGGTGAATCCTGGGGAGAGAGAGAGAGAGAGAGGTTAGTAACCTATTAACATACTAATTTATCATTAATAACATATTCATTTAGGAGATAGAGATTAGTATAGTAACCTATTAATATATCATTAACATATGTTAATAACATATTCATGGCTCATTATTTATGCATGAGATTTATTAATAGTTTTGATTTATTACATCACATACATGATACATTCGTTTAAAATCCACAAGCGAACTCTGCTTTACAGGGGTAAGCAGGAGAGGGGTGAGGGACGCGTAGAAAACGTAGAAACAATATAAATAACCAATTTTATCGGTTTTAACGATTGCGTTATTTTCGGAAACCGCCCTGGAAAAATTTTACCTTGAAGCGATCAGTTTTGTCTGGTTTCTTTTTATCGCTACGCACATACAAATCAACATAAACATATTCAGTCATCTACCCAAATTGAGAAATAATACAAAGAAATAAACTGCTGCAACTTAAAACGGTAGGAGGTAGTATTTATAATTTTATGCTCGGTTATAAACAAAATCACTCAACGAAGGAATTATGTACTGATAAGGACTGAGTGATAATTTCAATTGGAAATAGCTGGTATTATTAAAGCTGAAATGGAATGCAGATAAGACTCAAGATAAGCAAGATAACAAGTATCATATGGTATAACAATCATTCTCAAGCTGCCGAGCTATTATAGGTTAAGTAGATTTACAAATAGTATCTTAACTGAGCAATCGATAAAGACCAAGTCTTACCTTTCAAAAGTAATTTTCTTCTCGGTACCGAATTTTCTCGAGCGGATCCCAAATTTTTCGAAACAATTTGATTTCTAAAAAGATTTCCCAGCAAATCAACAATAAAAATGGCGTTTCCCGGTACGCTAGCGAGCGTACCCACTCTTGAAAAGTTTCTGCAAAGTTGCCAACCCGAGGGCAAAATTTTATAAATTTTAATAACACCGACACAAAGGCATTCGAATTGAAGTGAGAATTCTCAGAAAACTGAGCCAATGGCTTAGAGTCCAGCCATTGAGACTGACAACCTCATGGAGCGAACTGAAACAATGGCTTCAACACTAATTAATATTGATGATACAAAAAGAAAAGCATGGGATAATGAGGGTCTCATATTATGATCTGTTAATGTTAGACGGCCCCAACGTTAATGTGGCTTTTGCTATGTGTTGGTTCAGCCGAATTAATTATTATATAATTAAGTTTATTTTTCCATGTTCAGTTAGTTGTCATCTGGTTACACAATATGCCACTTATCTTCCATTAGTTGTATGTCAAAATAATGTCATTGTAATTTTGCATGGCTGAAATGTAATGTTTGATTTATATTATATATTATGATAGTTTAATTTTATTTTAATTAATTGAATTCTTATATTAATTAATTGAATTTTTAAATTTAAAACAATATTAACCTCTCCGAAAGGCGGTGTTGGAAGCTCAGGTCGGATCTTGTTAGTTTCCTCCCAAGGGGTTGTAGCGTTGTTATCAACATACCTTCTTTTGGAACTCTGCAATTGTAATTGTAATTGTAATTGTAATTGTAATTTTAATTGTAATTGTAATTGTAATTTTAATTGTAATTTTAATTGTAATGGTAAATAACAAACTAATCGAAACTTGAATTAAATAAAGATCGTTGAGCTGCATAGATAAGTTTACAAATGTAGGCCAGTTTTGAGTAAATTAAAAGTGCTAACTGGTACAGTCAATACTGACAACAGTAAGGAGATAAACAAGCTCATGCTGGATAGACAGATCAGAGAAAGACGATGTCTACTCGGACATTAAAGCCGCCCTAAGTCGAAGCAACTAAGTTGAGTAAATAATACATGCAGAAAATTTGCATGATATTTACAAGATGCAGTGTTTTCAGCTGCTTATGGAGATCACACTTGAATGACTGAAGTTTGTTTGTTATAATTAATTTATTCGATTAACACAGTTTCAGTAACCAACACAATTGAAGTTAAAAAACTAAACCAACCAATCAGACCAGAGTATCGGCACCACGTGACACAAACAACCAATCAGACCAGAGTATCAGCACCACGTGACACAAACTAACCAATCAGACCACAGTATCAGCACCACGTGACACAAACTAACCAATAAGACCACAATATCAGCACCACGTGACACAAACAACCAATCAGAGCACAGTATCAGCATCACACGTGACACAAATTAACCAATCAAAGCACAGTATTTAACTTACAGCACTGGTTGTGGGGGCTTGTTTGGGTTGGAGGGGTTTGAAGTGTGACTGTAGAGATGTTTGGCGTGACGATGCAGCCCCAGCTACACACTTCTTCTTCGTTCCCTCCTGAGAAGTGCGAATCGTTATTCTACGTTTATTAAACCTGAGTTTAAACTACTGACACAGTTTTAAAACTAGCTACTCAACTATTTCATAACACGCCCATAAGTGACTAAGGTGTGAGCTGATTTTTAAAAAGGTGATGAATATTTAGGATTGGGTGATGACCGAATACTTGGACTAAAACACGAACCGGTTTAAAAAGTGATACTACCAACCAGTATGTCTCTACCAACAGTCTCTAATAAACTCACAGTCTCTTATAAACTCACAGTCTCTAATAAACTCACAGTCTCTAATAAACTCACAGCCTCTAATAAACTCACAGTCTCCAATAAACTCAGAGTCTCTAATAAACTCACAGTCTCTAATAAACTCACAGCCTCTAATAAACTGACAGTCTCCAATAAACTCACAGTCTCTTATAAACTCACAGCCTCTAATAAACTGACAGTCTCCAATAAACTCACAGTCTCTTATAAACTCACAGTCTCTAATAAACTCACTGTCTCTAATAAACTCACAGTCTCTAATAAACTCACAGTCTCTAATAAACTCACAGTCTCTAATAAACTCACAGTCTCTTATAAACTCACAGTCTCTAATAAACTCACTGTCTCTAATAAACTCACAGTCTCTAATAAACTCACAGTCTCTTATAAACTCACAGTCTCTAATAAACTCACAGTCTCTAATAAACTCACAGTCTCTAATAAACTCACAGTCTCTAATAAACTCACAGTCTCCAATAAACTCACAGTCTCTAATAAACTCACAGTCTCTTATAAACTCACAGTCTCTAATAAACTCACAGTCTCTAATAAACTCACAGTCTCCAATAAACTCACAGTCTCCAATTAACTCACAGTCTCTAATAAACTCACAGTCTCTAATAAACTCACAGTCTCTAATAAACTCACAGTCTCTAATAAACTCACAGTCTCTAATAAACTCACAGTCTCTAATAAACTCACAGTCTCTAATAAACTCACTGTCTCTAATAAACTCACAGTCTCTAATAAACTCACTGTCTCTAATAAACTCACAGTCTCTTATAAACTCACAGTCTCTAATAAACTCACAGTCTCTAATAAACTCACTGTCTCTAATAAACTCACAGTCTCTAATAAACTCACTGTCTCTAATAAACTCACAGTCTCTAATAAACTCACTGTCTCTAATAAACTCACAGTCTCTTATAAACTCACAGTCTCTAATAAACTCACAGTCTCTAATAAACTCACTGTCTCTAATAAACACACAGTCTCTAATAAACTCACAGTCTCTAATAAACTCACTGTCTCTAATAAACACACAGTCTCTAATAAACTCACAGTCTCTAATAAACTCACCGTCTCTAATAAACTCACAGTCTCTAATAAACTCACAGTCTCTAATAAACTCACAGTCTCTAATAAACTATCAGTCTCTAATAAACTCACAATCTCCAATAAACTCACAGTCTCCAATTAACTCACAGTCTCTAATAAACTCACAGTCTCTAATAAACTCACAGTCTCTAATAAACTCACAGTCTCTAATAAACTCACAGTCTCTAATAAACTCACAGTCTCTAATAAACTCACAGTCTCTAATAAACTCACTGTCTCTAATAAACTCACAGTCTCTAATAAACTCACTGTCTCTAATAAACTCACAGTCTCTAATAAACTCACAGTCTCTAATAAACTCACAGTCTCTAATAAACTCACTGTCTCTAATAAACTCACAGTCTCTAATAAACTCACTGTCTCTAATAAACTCACAGTCTCTAATAAACTCACCGTCTCTAATAAACTCACAGTCTCTTATAAACTCACTGTCTCTAATAAACTCACAGTCTCTAATAAACTCACTGTCTCTAATAAACACACAGTCTCTAATAAACTCACGGTCTCTAATAAACTCACTGTCTCTAATAAACACACAGTCTCTAATAAACTCACAGTCTCTAATAAACTCACCGTCTCTAATAAACTCACAGTCTCTAATAAACTCACCGTCTCTAATAAACTCACAGTCTCTAATAAACTCACAGTCTCTAATAAACTCACAGTCTCTAATAAACTATCAGTCTCTAATAAACTCACAATCTCCAGGGCGGGCATGTTTTTTAGACTCTGGAGACAAGCTCCACTGCAGAAGTGCCTCATTCAGGCTGGATAAAGGACAAAAGTACCACCAGCGTGCTATTTGTAAAGAGTAAAGCAAATGCACAAACAAATATCAAGAGGATAACAGCCACGATCAGAACTTGTTAAGAAGCAGTGAGATTATATAGCCTCAATAAAGATTTTTAGTGGGCAGAGAGGGAACAGAGAAACCAAGAATTAAGACTGGTGAAGAAAAGTGGGGAAGAAACAATAGTCCTTGCTAAACGCAATGATTTCTGAAATCTGAATACTTCTTACACACTGATACTGCACTGTGTACATTGCTCAACACATAAGAAATAGACTCCCTCTATACTTAACAAACTTGTCAAAGAAACGAAGAAAAAACCCATACTAAAATAAACATTTCACTTTATCCGGGCTAATAAAGTGAACTTTGTAGATATAAATTCTTATCTACTAACAGCATTTTATCTAATTAGTGTATATTCTAGAGTACATAATATTTAGTGTGTAGTTGGATATTCTGCAGGGTTCGAAAACTTTCAACACTATGTTGCAAATAATTTGAGTGACAGGTGGATTTCGGTGACAGGATGAATTTGAGTGACGGGTAGGATTTCTGAGGGTGCATGTATAAGATGACGTGAATGGGACCCAGTCCCCAGCAAACACGATGGTCTTAATATTTATTTAATTTATGTGCAATAACTGGGTCTATTTTTGACTACTTGTATACTTTTGTTTTGAGTATATACTAATAGGTACCATAATTGTGAACATAGCATGTATTTGGTGAAGAATTAAAAATTTAATTATTTTTCAGACACCTTAATTACACTTCGGGAGAACTCAATATCTAATATATACAATAATTACCGCTACACCTGTTTCTGTAAGACTAGTTCTAATTTTCTAGTTCTAATTTCTAGTCCAAATTTTCTAGTTCTAATTTCTAGTTCTAATTATCTTTGTTAAAATGTTCATGAATAAAAGTATGATGATCACGTGACAGAAACTAACCAATCAGAATTAATTGAATAAAATAATAAATTAAATGTTTTACCTGAAGCACAGTAGTAGACTTTCTCTTGGCAACTTTTCCCCCACGGATCATTTTGTTCTACTGGCTAAATGAATATGACCTGGTTAGATAAAAAGCACAGCATGTTAAAAGTTTTAGATAGGTATACTTATACTGACGAAATCGAGAGAAAATGTTAACAAATTTAAAGTTATTCAAGTTTAAAATGTACAGTGTAATGTTATAAAAGAGGCAGCAGATGCACCAAAGGTAAGGTCATGTAGATAATGTGTAACACATTTGACTAGGATGTCATCAGCGAGTGACATGGGATATTCAAAAGATTTGACACAGTCAAAATATAAACCCCTAATCCAAGAAAACAACAATTTCAAGAAAACAACAATTTTATTTAGTATCAATTAAAGCAGACAAAAATATATTTTCTATATATATAACTAGCACGAACTTTAGATCAGATATCTTAGGGGACTTGGAGTAGCAAGAGATTGACTAGAAGGTATATACCTTTTACAAAGATACGTCGAGAAGAATCCAGGGTGATACAGGATCGGAGAGTGCAGACCAAAAGTTTACGCACCCACCTTTGCCTCCTGAGTTCTTGGTTGGATAGAAATTTATGCAAACTTGGTCGTTTATACTCCAAGTCCCTTTCTTAAAAGAAGTAGTATTAACTATGTCTAGAGTTAGCTTCGTTCAATAATAACAATATCAATATAATAATCAATATCAATACCAGATAAACCTACCGAATAAATTATTAAATATCAATAAATTAATTCATTCCGATAAAAATTTTTATAAATTTAGATATTTAGTATCTAAAAACATTACAACAAATGGTTAAAAAGCGCCCAAAATCGATTTGAAAGATTTTCTGTCTATAGTACAATCCAAATGTTTCTCTCTTCATCAATGAGAAATATTTCATCACCTGTATATTTGAAAGGGTCAATGATGACAGCTATGATTTCAACTTATCAGCAATGAACTGGAAAACTATCATCTAAAATCATAAGCATCGACTCAGAAAGAAACTTAGAGATGTATCAATTTTACAATTTTCTGCTGTTCACGTCTCCTCAATCTCCAATCAATATGTTATGTGGTCTGCCAGAGAAAACTATTTACAAAAAGTATTTTGCTGGCAAGGTTGATTCAGTACAAACTTGTCAGACCAGCAGCTGATACCATGGAATCTACAAATTTGAAGTCCGCTAAGTCTTTGTTTTGGTCATCAGCTGATCTCACAAGCTGATCCTGCAGGAATCGAAAGGGCGGATCACATGATTACGACGCAGCCCCAAAATAAGTTAGAGCCTTGAAATTTGGCCTGGAGTAAATTCGTTTTGAGCTCTACTTTTAAACTGCAAAATGTGCTCAGCAGCCGCAGTGACACATATCCACCGAGTTTGCAGATGAGCGCATGGTTTGTTGAGTATTTCTGGCCACACGTACATGTCATAGGGCAATCCTTTAAATTCAGGTTATATCTAAGAGCTATAGAGTCTGAGAACGGTTTTTTATTCATCAGACATTCATTCGTTTTTAATGGTAGTGCAGTTAACCAAGCACTTGCCCCTTTCTCAGCAGCTAGTTGGAACATCAACTTAGCCAGCGGTGTTGACTCGAGCTCCTGACGTATTTCTGCTTGTTTCTGTAGATAGAGCTAAAGCAGTAGAGGAGATGGCGGCCTCTCTGGGATCTCACACATCCTGAAACAGAACACTATGTCCCAACGCACTGGTGTTGGGATGTCTGCCCCCGGTGCCTGCCCGGGTCAATAAAGCAGTCAAGCATCATGTATGTTAGGATGAGCATTCTCAACCAGCAGATGTGGGAACTCCCACGAAAGACCGAAACAGATCTAAAGAGACAATTAGCAAAATCGAAAAATAGACTCGAATTTTTTATATAATTTTGAAGCGTATGTTATTGCCCACGTTAAAATTATTAGCTATTTTAGATTTAATAATAATAATATTCTACTGCTAAAGATCTTCCAACAGAGTGCAGTATTTTGTAGACCACTGAACCATGGTCAGTAATACTTTTTGAAAGCCGCTCTAATTTTTTCATTTGTGAGAGCCATTCTTAATCAGGTAGAAAACTACACTGAGAACTGGAACAGCGAAAATCTCTATCTACATTATTATTATTAAATCTAAAATAGTTAATAATTTAATTAATTATTAACATGCCCCTTAACGTGGGCAATAACATACGCTTTAAAATTATATAAACAAATTCGAGTCTATTTTTCCAATTGTCTCTTTAGATCTGTTACGTCTTTCGTGGGAGTTCCCACATCTGCTGGCTGAGACCAGCGCTGGTTGAGGATGCTCATCTTAACATACATGATGCTTGATGCTTGGTGTTGGGATGTCTGCCTGGGGCAGACATCCCAACACCAATGCGTTGGGACATAGTGTTGGTCTGTTTCAAGATGAGTTAGATCCTAGAGAAGCCTCCATCTCCTGAGCCCTGGTTTCCTGCCACATTGGTACCTCTGAAAGTATAGAAAGGTGGTGGATTTCTGGCCGGGGTCCAATATTCTCCCTCTTTATTACTTTATTACTTCTTTATTACTTACTTACTTACTTACTATTCTTTAAGGTGTTATCATTTCTCTGAGATGTTTGCAGAGTCTTTGTTTTCTAGTCTTTCCTGTTGGCTAAGTCCTGGAGAGATTCATTTTGTATTGTGCTCTGCCAATTGCAACACTTGAATTACTTTATTGTATATATACTGTTTGACACTTTTTCATATATGTAGATTCATTTTGTTCCCAAAGAAATTAGACTCTCCTAATGAACGCTTTTTGTGTGCTGCTTTTTGTTGATATTAGAACTTCTTCTAGATAGGAATATGAGTCAGTTCCATTAAGTTCTTGTTTAAGTTGAAGGTGACTGGTATCTTGGACTTCTAGACATAGCAGAAGCTGGTGATCAGGAGAATCATCGAAGTTGTTACAGAAACGACAGGCTTCACCACTGTATTTACCCATGAACTTCTGGATACCTGCAAAGAATGGTGAGCTGCAGTGAATATAATCCATTATTCGGTAGTATATCAGTATGCAGTAGAAGATTAGGCAGTATCCTCCTTATTCAACCTTCAATCATGAATCAAGGATTTCATTATTTTTTTAAATTACGAATGCGTCGACCAGATAATATTAAATAAAATAAAATATACTTTTATAGCACAATTTGGTGTCGAAACCACAATTTTTCAAGTAAGTGCTTTTGATGATAAGACCAAAGACATACACAAAAAACAATGTTGATGATAATATAAATGTAGGCACCATGAAGAGCTGTTGGCATTATCCAAAAGATGTTGGCATTATCCAAAAGCTTCATCATAATCAGAGTGAAGGATGATAATGTGCGGCACATAATATATAATCTATGTAATAAGCGCCATGAGTTGGCACAGAATCTTTTGTCTCTGATTTTGATAAATTTGGTACCAAAAGTTGCCTTTAACTGTGAATAATGAAAATTCATCATGTAGCACGATTCGTTGAGATGTATGTGTGGGTCTCCTGTGCATTGCAAAAGTGTACTATGGACGAAAAATGGTTAATTTATTGCTTAAAATGCCTATAACTCCTAAAATATTGAATATTTTGAAATAATTCTTACAGAATCGTAATGAGCTTAATCAGACGCAACTTTTGGTACCAAAATTATAATATAATTTAACGCACAAAATTTTTCGAAAATTTGTTCAGATTAAAAACTTTTGAGAAAAAAATTCCTTTAAATCTTAAAATATTAGTACTAAAAGTTTCGTCTCGATGAGCTGATTACGATAAATAACTATGTGGTAATAATTTAAAATGTGAAAGTTATAGGCCAAAAACTAAAAATTTGCGCGAAAAAAGCACGCGCGGCGAACAAGCGCCGTACTATACTGAAGCATTTTTTCCAAAAATTGCTACACGGTGGATTTATTTTATTCACATTTTTAGACAACTTTTGGTACCAAATTTATCGAAATCGGAAAAAAAGTTCTGTGCTCGCGCTTGGCGCTTATTTACACTGACTAAAAATAATTTTGGCAATGCAGAGTTCTACAAATAAATTAAACAAGAGATACCGTTATTAATTTCTAACTGTAAGGACAACATGACAGTTTTAGCCCAACAATAAACATTCAAAACTTGTGTTGTGGGTACATGGATTATATTTTTAACATAAAGTTGAAATGTTACAAATCTTTTGACATACGTTGCATGCCACTTTTCGCGCGCGAAGCGCGCGCCGCCGATGTTTGTGATACGCAACATGTATTAACAATTCTTTAATTATTTACATGAAAAATATTTTGTATTCAATTTATTTACTAACTTTTAGGCGAATGTTCTGATACTGGTAATCTTTTTTTGCTCTTGTGAGTGGGTCAATCATTTATTTTGAATTGTAGTTGACGAAGTGAGAGTCTCCACACACTAAGTGGAGACTCTCACTTTGTCAAATACAATTCAAAATGAATGTTCTGATACACTTTAATTTTTGATTTCACATATAACTCAATCAAGCGTTGATACATGTTGCGCCTTCGGCGCGAAAAGTGGCATGCAACGTATGTCAAATCAAGCGCCATGTGATGCAAAAATCACTTTAATAATAGTATTTAGGCCAGACCGGGCCCGCGGCAACATTTTGCAGAATGAATACTATACATATTACATACAAAACTACATTGCAGTTACATACAAAATGTACAAAAATATTTCTTATATTTGCCAAATTAGTATAATATGTATACATTTTTATTGTAATTTTGCTTAATGCTTAACAAGTATTTAAAACTAGTTTAACAAGTAATTGTCCTAAATACATGAATGCGCGTTAAAAATGCAATAAACTATTGTTTGTCTACATCTAAATATAAATTAAACAGGTTTTATTATATGTTTGAACAGTACGTCGTGTCAAATTCTCACAATACAAATAGTCCAGCGCATCACCAAACTAAACTTAAAATCAAGCAGCCCAAATTTGACCATTTTATTGAGCATTGTTAATGGTCTGGCCCGGCGCGCGCTACTTGATCGTAGCACTGGTCATTTCGAGAAGAAAGCGGCGCGCGCTACTTCGAAGAAATTTAAACGAGTAACATCCGTCAACCATTTTACAGCCAGGCATTGACTTATTTTATTTTGTTTGTATTTATTTTTATACAGCAATGTTTTTTATGAGTAAGCATTTTTTAGATGGCCTACGATATAGATAACAAATTTCATACAATGATTATCGAAAATATAAAATGTGCCGCGCACGATTGAAACATCTTCAATCTCGATTGTTATTCAATGAGAATCGAGCGCTAATGCGAATACTATTTAAAATTTTTATCACTTGAAAGTGGCTATGATCCAGCTTAGTGAAATAGTCAGTCTCTTTCTTGGTATAGCTGTTTTTTTCTTTTGATTAACCGCTCAGACATTGACATTGTATCGTGTTAATTATTCAGTTATTTTTTATCCTGGCTTCGCTGATGATTCAGCTCACATATCAAAGCTTTTTTCTCTTTTTATTTTGTGTTAGGTGAATACAGTGTGGAATATCTTAACGTCAAAAGGGTAATCTTTCGGCTCACTTGAAAGATGGAAACACTTAGTATAGTATAGTGCAATGTTTAAAGCATACATGCGTGCAATTTCGCATAGAACCTATGCAATGGTTCCTTAGCTACTCTCTAGACCAGGTGACTCTGGGATTCAAACCCTGGACCTTCTGTGCAGAAGGTGGAAGCTCTAATCACTATTATGTTACTGCCCACCTAAAGGTGGATAATAAGTTAAATTATTTGCTACCTTGATTTTAGATAATAATAATCTCATCACTAGCCCCAACCCTTCATCAAATCAGATGTGTATTTTATAGCAAAACGAAAGGGGTATCTTCGGCACACATATGAAAGCCCTTGTTGAAAATGTATTATAACTAACAAGTAAAAATCTTGACCAGCATTAAAAATGGTCAGATATGTTATTGATAAAAGTATGTTTGTTAACGATATGCTATGAGCTGCGCTTGCGGATTGAGTGACAAGGTTGAAGATCATGGAAGTGAAACATTTTGCATAGCATGTGGATCTATTGTCAAACAGGTAAGAGCACAAAATGCATTATTTTGGATTCAGATTTCCGGAAAGAAATAGGTACACTTGCTTAAGTGTTGCAACCAAATGAATTTGTGGCTCAAATCTATCATGCTAACAAAAAACCTTTTTCAGGACTTTCTTGTTGAGGATAAGCCCAACTTTTGGGACAAATTTCAGCATCAGCGCCATGATTTCACCAAAGATCCTGCTAACAAATTTGTTACACATGGCATATTTGGCTCCTCTAAAGAAACTTACAATATCAGGTAATTTTTACTTTACCATCTTTCTGTCCAGGGATCATTGACATGTGCATGTGCAGTGAGTTAAAAACTTTAAACTTTAAAAGTAGTTTAAAATTAGTGAAAATTTTATCTACACACCAACTCACTAAGTAACATGATCCAAAATGGTCTCTTAGAGCGTGGAAATCACATGACACTACAATGGTAAACAACATTTTGAGAGCGTGAGAAGAGAGAACTCTCTCTATGTCAATGACCCTTCCAGGAGAGCAACCTTTCCTTTTTTGAAGTAAGTTTCAATTCTAACACATTGACAGTATGAGCATACATTTCTGAACAAGATTACCCTACTATATTATATTTTATGCTGTGCCAAATTATCTCCCCCATGTACATCAAATTGTAAACATAGTGTGTACCGTATATAATTGATTTGGTAGGCAAACAATCTCATAGACTAAGTGACTGCAAAGTTAATTTGCAAGATATTGAACACCCTATTAGCTATTCATATGACACTAGATCAATTGCGACTATGCCATTCATAATAATGTATCATGTACAGTAAAACCCAGATTCACTGCGCCCAAATTTACCGCAAACCCTGATTTACCGTGAGTATTTCCTTTCCCCAAAATTTTTCTTCAAATATTTTTTTCGAAAATCTAGATTTTTTCAGAAAAGTTGAATTTTTTGCCTGGTCGACGTTGTCTGTAGAAGGACGTTTCAACGATTTCCGTTCAGACAAGCAGGGGAACCAAAGGTGATCTCATATCTTTCGAGTTCTGCTCATTTCTTTTTGATGTTTCGAACAGTTGTCTCACGATTCCAAAGTGTAGGGTAACTAAAGAGGAGGATTTGCCGCTCTTCAACATTTTGATCACTTCTAATTCTCTCTTCTGTCCGATGGTTAGACGTTTTCGATTAGAGGAAGGAGATTCTCCGGTATTAGGTATAGCAGTGGCGTAACTTTGCCTGTTGGCGCCCCCCCGCTCAGTGACAAAAAGCGCCCCCTAAATTTTTTGTGTCCCTAAAAAAAAAAAAAAAAAAAGGTCGGGTACTTTTTTTCTCGCCCCCCTACAGCTTTTTGCGCCCCCCCCCCCCCCCTGAAGCAAAAAAGGTACCCTAAATATTTTCTCGCGTCGACCAAACGCTAAATTGGACAGGGAAATACACAAACAAGGCGTTTTTTCAGTGAAAGGGCTTAAAATTCAGGAAAATTGCGCCCCCCTTATACGGCGCCCCCCCCCCCCCCCCCCCCGCACAGCGGGGTCTGTGGGGCCCTAAGTTACGCCACTGAGGTATAGTGGAATTAGATTAGAGCAAGACACAAGCTCGTGCTCCACACTGCTTATTGAATCATGTAACCATAAAACCATGTTCTCGTATAATGCCTTTGCTACTGTGATGCTTGACAGTACTCCTATTACAGGGCATGGGCACCACTGTGTTTGAGAAGGGTCAGTTCGTGCTACAGGGGAATATGTGATCTGATCATACAGATGTTGATAGCTAGTGATAATTACAGATTTCGATACGATTTGCAATGTACTGCAAAGAAAGCAAGAATTTGCTCAAACTGAATTTCTATCATGTTGATACTATTAAGTTGCTGAGTACAATCAGACTATCAGAAATATCCACTCTATGGATTAAAGGCCTCTCCCACCCTTTCTTGGCCAATTTTGGACCCCAAAAACCAAAACCCTGATTTACCGCAAACCCCGATTTACCACAGGTTTTAGCCTTCCCCAAAAACCCGCGGTAAATCGGGGTTTTACTGTATAATGTATAAGTTTTTCGTGATATTAATGACACTTCCTTTTAAGTCAAGATTTATTTAGAAGATTTATGTAAAATCTTTTCCACCTTAAATTCACTATTTTATTGGTTACTATTTTCAGACAGAAGACTTTAAAGAAAAGAAACTTAATGATATCGTGTCACCAATTAAAGCTACCACACCCTGAACTGATAGCCGAGACTGCCCTGAGCATGTTGGAGAAACACATTTTCAAACCTCGAAAACATATGCTACAAAAGCATCGTGCTGCTGCTATCTACACTAGTTGTAAATTACACAACATTGAGATTACTTCTAGCGTGAGTTTTTTAAATATTGTTAATCTCGTCTTATTATCAATTATCAAATGGATGGTATTAGGCGAATAGATTAATGATTATAAAAATCCCATCAATGTAAGCGCCCAAGTACTACACGATACCACAATCAATTGATCTCTAGAAATGCATAACTATTATATTATTTTCAGGAGATAATAGACAGTTTGCAAGTTACTGGAAAACATCTTTCAACATTCTTTTTAAAGTTTTACAGGATGTGTACCAGTAATCACGACCAATTAAATACCGAGCTCAGCCAATCCCAGCCAATCCACCTGGCTGACATTAAAGATCTAGAGATGAACGGTGTAATACCACCAGATTCATCTAGAACATTCCTAAAATACTGCTCGGATCTAAGTGAACTGTTCCCGGTGCCACCTGAACCCAGAAGACACACCAGCTATGGGAAACATAGTGGGTATTTTCTGAGAGATTCCCGACATCGGCTGGTGGTGTTCGCTAATATGGTTTCTCAGTACTTGTACGGGGAAGAGCTGGGTAGTAGCAAGTTTGAAGCTGCTGGTGTAAAAGATTGTAGGATTGTTAGGTAAATTTTTATAAAATATGCATTTTTTAATAAATAGATAGTAAAATCTCTGTAAAGTGCCACAAAATTAAACTTCCTGTTTCATTAAATATCTAGTCACATCACAATCTGATAATCTTATTTCCTTTACATTTCCAGTTTCCAGAAAGACACAGACTTATGCTGGAGTATACTGCACAAAACATGCGCCCTTTTCATGAAATGGTTACTTTGGAATTGTTCCCCAGTCTCTGACAGAAAATCACAGGTGAGTCAAATATTAAATTTTAATAAAATAATCCATCGATACCTTAAAAATTGGTGGTCAGACGGGTGTTGGTCTCTTAAATATTATGTACTATTAATAGAAGGAGTCAGCAAAACTATTTTTTATTTTCTGTCGAAGGGTTGAAGAGAAGCATTTAAAAAAATTAGTACTGCAAAATTGAATAGTTTTCTTTTGTTGCAGGTTTTCCGAAGAAAAACCTTCCCAAAGTTACTAGGAAAATTGCTGGAGAGAAAAGGCTTACTATTGGAAAATCTGCGAAAATACCGGGAGTTTGGTAGTGTGAAAGTAGCCAGAGCTAGTGAGTAAATTATGTTTGGTTTATCATTTTTTATTTAACTTTTTAAAAAGTTATTTAAAGTTTCACCCTCTGAAAGTTTAAGTGAAAATGTGCTAATTGGACAACTTTGCGTGCTGGAGGAATTGGCGAATATCTGTATTATAATTAGAAACACACGCAATATCAGTTCTATTATATAAAACTATTTAATAATATCATCTTATTACAGAGCAGAAATCGTGCCAAAAACGGAGAAGAAAGTCCATATCTTGTACAAAAAACTCTCCTAAAACCACTTCTTTATCTAGCACCAGCTCCCTATCACAGTCGACTGGTAGTAGCATGGAAGAAGAGTGTACAGCTATAAATACTAATACACTGAATCAGTGTTTAGAAGTTCTGAATAAGTACATTGTTCTTCATCATCCGGACCAGATCGTCCAGCAGTTTGAACGGTTAGTTTATAATAGGTTAATTAGTTTATTAGTTTATAATATGTTAATTAGTTTATAATATGTTAATTATAAGGATTAATTATAAGGCAATTAAGATAACATTTAGTGTTTTGAAATTCAAGTTAATCGACTCAATTGAAATTACATCGCATCTTGGCGTAATCTCGGTATAATCTCGGTATAATCTCGCAGGTTGTTGGCGATATTGTATCTAACGGATATGAAACCACTCCTTCAGAGAATTCCCAAGCTTATCTACTTTGTTTTACTTCACCAGATAATAAGCACTGTTGAACCCTCTGTAAGTATCTTATCTTTACTAATTACTAATTAATAATTAGAGTATCTTATCTTTACTAATTAAACGATGGTTGATAAATTCATGTAATATATATATCAATTGGTCATTCGTTGCTGTGTACTATTCAATTAACTCCATTTTCAAATGACCATTTTAAATTATATCTACAATGATATATCTCCAAACTGGTGGTCAAAGTGCACAACAAATTTGAAAATAACTTTATTTCCGTTTATAAAGACTTCAACTGACATTAAAATAATTGATAATTTCAGACTACTAATACTATACCAGTGAATTCTTTGCTCTTTGTTCTAAAATTCAACACTCATTACTCCATATTGATTTGAATTTTAAAATTCATGAACTCCATTTCACTCTCATGTATAATGTCAATTGTAAATGTAATTTGATGTTTTGTTCACTAATTCGTTATTTCACTAATTCACTATTTCACTATTCCTCCCCCAACAGGTCCCATCGCTGTCACAACTTCAAAACCAGAAGAATAAAACTGAAAAGATCGACGAAGCAATAAGAAAAACGTTTATAAGAATATTCATCAAGTACAGTGCAACAATGTTGCCGACTAACCTGGATAAGGAGAAGTAAGTTAATCTGATAATTTAGTGAAAAGATTTTAAAATGGTGGGTAACTTGGTAATTTCTTGGTAATGGAAACGTTTTATTTCAAACCATTAAAAAGTCATGGACTATTTCCCTTATTTTCAGGTTAACAGAGACAATACACACTTACTACTACACAATAGTTGGGTCCGTTAAAACCTACAGAAAACTAATTAACACTATCTCTCTCGATACGACCTCCGAACCCTCACCCGTTTCTTCTTCTGTCTCTTCTCCTCGGTCTGATATCCAGTTTGTAGTTCCTGCTGAGTTCACCAATGCATTGCAGTCGGGCTACTAGAATGTAGTGTTTTCTGATTGGTTGGTTTGTGTCACGTGACTAGAATACAGCTCTCTGATTCGTTGGTTTGTTGTGTATTCGAAGGCACTATTGCTGAAATTTGATTTAGAGTTAATCAACAGATCATTTGTTAGACTTTATTTTAGTTAATCGTTTTATGGTCATGTGGGAGAGATTTGTTTGTTTGTTACCACCTCTGATATATTCTATTTGTAAGACTTTTGTCAATCTAACTTGTTAAATATATTTATAATTGTAAAATTCACGATTTAAAACATTTCTTTATAAAAACTATTTCAATATTTATTGCCATTTTACTCAAGTACAAGATGATTGAAAAATGAAAATTAACATGGTCCACGATTTTATCACACTTAGCTTGGAAATTCGGCTTCAGGGATGATTAACTAACCTAAAATGAACTAAATAATTATTTAATCGTTTTATAATAAATCAACAAAACCTCATTCCAATTGATAAATTCTTTAAAAATTTACCGAATTCCAGCAATGAACAGAGATGAAGCAGTACGGTGCATCAACATTGCAAAGAGATGTATCGCTGATGGGAACAATGAAAAGGCAGATAAGTTTCTTAAGAAGTCTCTTGCTTTACACGAAACAGCATTAGCAAAAGGTTGGAACTTAATCATGTTAATTATGTTTAATTAATTAGCAAAAGGTTGGAACTTGTTGTAACTTACCATGAATCATGTTAATGCGAAAGTTAAATTTGAGCAGCTTTTAATGCTACTTTATGATTCACCAAATTTCAGTAAAATACAAATTCTATTGAACCTCATCTTATACTCGTTATATTATGCAAAATAGAATAATGATCGTTCTAGCTCTCATTTTCCATGTTTTTGCCTCACAGGACTCAGGAGATATTGTGGTCTTTTCTAAATATAACTGTTATACATTGATGTAAAGTTTATTTGAATTTTGAAATTTAAAAAAACCAAGACTCATATTAAAATCTACTACTACTTCAGAGTTACTAGCAGGCCTGGGTCGAACACCCCCAAAGTCCCCCACCTCCCCCTCCTCCTCCTCCACCACCAACGGTGATGCAACTCCATCAGAGACCAGAAAACGACCCAATACGGGGGGTGGGACGGAGAGTAATGGGAAAGATGTTACTGCTGATATGATAGCTGCCGTTAACAAGTTTGTTATAATTGTTTAATTGATTGTTTGTTTGATAGCTGTATAATAGTGGGTTGGCCAATGTCCAAAAGTTTAGAACTCGAGTACAGTCTCAATGTATATTGTATGAGGGTCTAATCTTCCAGCGTGACGTCACAACACAAGTATTGTCCTAATTCCCTTTGAAATGTGTTGGTTGAGCAGAGTATCACGTGATTGTGTTTACATCACGACATACCATACATTTTGTTAAACATATGTAGGCAATTACAATTCTGTAGATAGACAAGAGTGTAGAAAATTATAAAACGTTAATTTTGATCCCCACTATTGGTTGCATTGCCCAAAATTCCGTAGATTCTGTGAAGTCAAAAAATAGATTTTACAATGTCATGATAGTTTACTTAACACAAATACAATAGATACTAATATGATGTAATCCGCAGAGTGAAAGGTAAAAAAGATTACTACACAATTTTGGGATGTGAAAAGACCGCAACAGAACCCGAACTGAAGAAAGCGTACAGAAAGTTAGCACTTGCGCTTCATCCTGACAAGAACTGTGCTCCAGGCGCTAATGAGGCATTTAAATGTAGGTCACACTGTAGGTCACACTGTAGGTCACCTGTGTACACCCAGGCTAAATCTTTTAAATCAAAACAATAAATTTCCCTCGTTTATTCACATTCATGTTGGCACTGGTTTAATGTCAGTCTTATTTCTTAACAAATTCGCTGTTTGCCCGGAGTAAGACAGCTTCAATATTGTGTGCAGATATAATTGTTCGTTAATTGACGGATAATCACCCAATAAGTTAATTGACTTTGTTGCAGCGGTTGGAAACGCGTACGCAGTGCTGTCAAACAAAGAAAAAAGAGGACAATTTGATAAGTATGGATTTCAGGACGATTCCCCTTCTACTTCCCACCGAGGACATAGTCACAGATATAACCGTTATTATCATGATGATGAGGGTAATTAGTTTATTAATTAGTGTATTAAGTAACCTATAAATTACTTTACATAGTTACTTAATTTCATTCGGTCTCATCCTGGTGCAGTTCAAGATAGTTAGTTATCTAACCCTTTCATTCCTAGATTCCAACAACTGCTCATTCCTCATTATAATTTAAAAAACTAATTTACCAACTAATTACCCGATTAACTTCAGATATAAGCCCGGAGGAGCTCTTCAACATGTTCTTCGGAGGAATGCAGCCCAACAACAGGAACGGCCGTAGAGCAACATTCTATAATAACTACACTAGAGAACAAACTACTACAGGGGATAATAACGCCAGTGTTAGTTTACTTTTAGTATTAGTTTGGATTATATTTGTTATATTTTTAATTTATATTAGGTTTAATTTACCTTTGTTATTGTTTTAGTAAAAATGTATTATATAGGTTTAGTTTACTTTTAGCATAGTGTTTGCTAATTTTTTGTATAGATTCACGTAAAATTAGTAAGTACAGTAAAACTCTAAAATACCGCGCCCAATTTACCGCAAACCCCGATTAATTTCCCCAAAATAGGGCTCATGCAAAATGTAAACAAACAAAACCCGATTTACCGCAGACCCCGATGTTTCCTTTCCACAAATTTCCCGGTAAATTGGGGTTTTAGTTTTACTGTATTTAGAATGAAGTTTTTCTGAATGCACTGGGATACCGACAAAAAGCGTTTATGGACATGACACTTCATTTGTTGGCTTTTCACTTTTCAATGGTGTCATCTTATATACGATGTGTATAATGTACTATTTACAGTGTACAATGTAAAGTTGTATTATTATTAATTGAATCTATATCATGTTACCTCTGCATCTCACAATGGTTTAATTTGGTCTGCAAATTATGTGTATGATAATAAAGTCGTTCGTTAATTACCAATTATAACTGACCCTGCCTAGTTTCATAAATTTGTTACATACACAACAAATTATAAATGACCCTGCCTAAATTTTAATTGTCAAGTTATTACCAACATAAAGTTATTATTTGTCTAACTACAAATTAATTATATAACTACACTCGCATACTAACAATTTAATCTTAAGAGACAGCATTTAAGACTATTCCAGGTAATTAATTACTAATTATTTCTGATAACTAATTGCTAATTATTTCAGATAGTATCATCGCTATTACAAATGTCGCCTTTGCTACTCCTAATCCTCATGTCGGTTCTCAACTCTATTTTCACTGAAGACCCTGCTTGGAGTTACCATAGAAACGGGTAAGTGAATATGTTTTGACACGTGACAGAGGTTCTGGGATTTGATTGGTAGCTCATTACTTACTGGAGACTCAGTAAATAATGGGGTAAGTGAGTTAGATCATTGCTTGATACTGATTTGTCGGTTGATATCACGTGACAAATAAAGTCAGATCTGGAATTCTATTATGTACTGTGATATCTCTTTAAGTTGTCTTTATTAGATGCAAGTTGAAAGTCTTTACTGTCTAATTATTGTACAGTGATTTATCCTCGCGCTGTATTACCATGCTAATTACCACGTTAATTACCATGCTAATTACGAAATGAACCGTAATATGTTTTGGTGAAATTCCAAGAACTGTGTCGTGCTTCTTTGCCGGAATCTTCACTGTCATCACGCCATTTGCGGACCACCTCCTTGACTGTGCTATCCAGTTATTTTATCACAGAAACCTGAATGTAGCTATCTATCGGCACATTTCTGTCACTTCATCTGTCAAAATATGTCTGAAATCTGTCTAAATCAGCCGTCACTACTATCGGTTTTTATTGCAGATTTCATGACACGACAAAATACGAAACTCATCCTTAAAAGCTATTCTACTGGTTTCACCCTGTTTTGCTCTCACATTTAAACTGTCAGGCATTAGTAGAATTGCCAATATTATTTAGTCCAATTAGCTCTTTATCACTAACTTCACCACATTTGGTGTTTATCTTAATTGTACACTAATTATATCTACTCTCATTGTTCATAACAACTCCCTGATTGATCACCATTGACTGTGTATCATGTCACGTGACCCTTCTTTTACACGTCACCAAATAAAGGTGGTTTGTTTTTTTAAAGTTCCCGTTTCCCGTAAGTTCCCGTTTCCCGTAAGTTCCCGTTTCAAGTAAGTTCCCGTTTCAGGCAGTATAAAGTGGAAAGGTCGACATCGTGGAATACTATACGTTATTATGTTAAGGTAAGTTTTTATAATTTTGTAATTTATTTGTTAGTAATGATGCCTGATCAATTATTTAAAAAGATAAGGAAGTTAGAGTACTGTTAATTGATTAGGATGCTTGAGTTACATCCAGTAAATTTAAACAACTAATTTGGAGTGACCCCAAATCCCGTTATTAAAACACCTCCCGGTAACTAAACACCTCACGGTAAATAATATAGTGGCCCTTGGCTGCAAAGGATCAACAAATACCCACTAAAGCGGAGGATTACTCAAGAATCACTGTGTCCGTAAATAGAACACATTTCAGGGAGAATTTACAGAACAGTATACAAGCCAGAAGATATTACACCTAGAGTTCGAAATAGAGCGAGATTACAAACAAGATCTACAGATTAAATGCATCAACAATCAGCGGAGAAGTAAGTCAAGTGTAGAGTGTACCGACTAGACTACTGAGCTATCCCTGAATTTAGGTTGAACACTGATTAGAACTGCGACATATTTGCCACAATAATTTGCACCCTTTAACGGAACGCGCGGAGCATTTTACACAGTGGCAAGGACCCAGTATCTCGTAGTGAAAACTGGCAATAGCTGCGCGGCGGTCTAGTTTGTGCCGCGCGGATACGACAATGTCATGGATTGGTTGTAGTCAAGGATCTGACGACATTCCCGTCTATATAACTTCCGCCCCGGGGTTTGAGACTTGGGATACCTCAAGGGACCCATTAGAAACAAATTTGGCTTGGGTAGAAATTTTGGCTATGGTGCAGTTTTGCGCAATTGACCACGCCCTTTTTTGGCGCTTTTGCAACTTTAGAATCAAAATAACTCCGCTTCTAATTAGAATTAGAAGCTCAGCTTGGCTTTAAAGTTGTTCAGAATCATCACATTAAGGGGGGTAGAGCATAATTTTAAAGTCAACAGACATCGGGTTGTTGAGTTATGTGACCACACCCTTATTTACCCTCGCGAGTCGTGATTTTCACACTAAATACGAGATATCTCGGCTTCTGATTGAGCTACGTGCTCATCCTGGGCATTAAAATGTTCAGAATCATCACATTGAGTAGGGTAGAGCACAATTTCAAAGTCCTCAGATGTCAGGTTGTTGAGTTATTAGGCCCCAACCTGTTTTTACGCTTTCGCGGGTAGCGATTGCAGCGCTTAAAATCAAAATAACTCAGCTTCCAATTGAAGTTAGGAGCAAAACTCGGGCAGCAAAATGTTCACAATCATCATATTGAGTGGGGTAGAACGTAGTTTCAAAGTCCTCAGACGTCAGATTGTTGAGTTATTAGGCCCCGCCCAAATGTTTACGCTCTCGCGAGTCCCGATTCGACGCTTAAAATCAAAATAACTCTGCTTCTGATTAGAGTTAGGAACTAAACTTGGGCATAAAAATGTTCAGAATCATCACATTGAGTGGGGTAAAACGTAGTTTCAAAGTCCTCAGACGTCAGGTTGTTGAGTTATTAGGCCCACACCATAGTATTTACGCTCTCGCGAGTCGGGAGTGGACACTTAAAATCAAAATAACTCGGCTTCTGATTAGAGTTAGGAACAAAACTTGGGCATGGAAATGTTCAGAATTATCACATTGAGTGGGGTAGAACGTGGTTTCAAAGTCTTCAGACGTCAGGTTGTTGAGTTATTAGGCCCACACCATAGTATTTACGCTCTCGCGAGTCGCGAGTGGACACTTAAAATCAAAATAACTCGGCTTCTGATTAGAGTTAGGAACAAAACTTGGGCATGGAAATGTTCAGAATTATCACATTGAGTGGGGTAGAACGTGGTTTCAAAGTCTTCAGACGTCAGGTTGTTGAGTTATTAGGCCCCAACCTGTTTTTACGCTCTCGCGGGTAGCGATTGCAGCGCTTAAAATCAAAATAACTCAGCTTCCAATTGAAGTTAGGAGCAAAACTCGGGCAGCAAAATGTTCACAATCATCACATTGAGTGGGGTAGAACGTAATTTCAAAGTCTTCAGACGTCAGGTTGTTGAGTTATTAGGTCCCATCTTATTTGTATGCTCAGGCGAGTCGTGAGTCGACGCTTAAAATTAAAATAAATCTGCCTCTGATTGGAGTTAGCAAGTCAACTTGAACATACAAATTTTTAGGATTATTGAATTGAGTGGAGTAGAGCGTGGGTTCAAAGTCATAAGGGATCAGGCAGTTCAGGCTGTTGAGTCACTAATACTTCTGTTTATGATCTCATGTATCGAGTTCTAATACGTCTATTTATGATCTCATGTATTGAGTTCTATTTTTCTATTTATGTTTGACGAACTTACGTCGACCTTATACGATAAATAATGTGATTATTCTTTCTTGTTCCTGGCCAAGATGAATTGCTCACAACTGCAATGGTAAAAGTAGTTTGAAAATTAAATTAATAACCAGAAAAAGTAAGTTTCGCCCAGAGCAAACAGTGAATACTCTCTAAATCCCGTACAACCACACTCTTTCTCACTCAATGTGATAATTCTGACCATTTTTATGTCCACGTTTAGTTCCTAACTCCAATCAGAAGCCTAGTTATTTTGATTTTAAGTGTCGACTCGCGACTCGCGAAAGCGTAAAAACAGGGTTCCGCCTAATAACTCAACAACCTGACGTCTGAAGACTTTGAAACCACGTTCTACCCCACTTAACATGATAATTCTGAACATTTCCATGCCCAATTTTTGTTCCTAACTCTAATCAGAAGCCGAGTTATTTTGATTTTAAATGTCCACTCGCGAGAGCGTAAAAATAGGGTTCCGCCTAATAACTCAACAACCTGACGCCTGAGAACTTTGAAACCACGTTCTACCCCACTCAATGTGATAATTTTGAACATTTCCATGCCCAAGTTTTGTTCCTAACTCTAATCAGAAGCCGAGTTATTTTGATTTCAAGTGTCCACTCGCGACTCGCGAGAGCGTAAATACTATGGTGTGGGCCTAATAACTCAACAACCTGACGTCTGAGGACTTTAAAACTACGTTCTACCCCACTCAATGTGATGATTCTGAACATTTTTATGCACAAGTTTAGTTCCTAACTCTAATCAGAAGCAGAGTTATTTTGATTTTAAGCGTCGAATCGGGACTCGCGGGAGCGTAAACATTTGGGCGGGGCCTAATAACTCAACAATCTGACGTCTGAGGACTTTGAAACTACGTTCTACCCCACTCAATATGATGATTGTGAACATTTTGCTGCCCGAGTTTTGCTCCTAACTTCAATTGGAAGCTGAGTTATTTTGATTTTAAGCGCTGCAATCGCTACCCGCGAGAGCGTAAAAACAGGTTGGGGCCTAATAACTCAACAACCTGACATCTGAGGACTTTGAAATTGTGCTCTACCCTACTCAATGTGATGATTCTGAACATTTTAATGCCCAGGATGAGCACGTAGCCCAATCAGAAGCCGAGATATCTCGTATTTAGTGTGAAAATCACGACTCGCGAGGGTAAATAAGGGTGTGGTCACATAACTCAACAACCCGATGTCTGTTGACTTTAAAATTATGCTTTACCCCCCTTAATGTGATGATTCTGAACAACTTTAAAGCCAAGCTGAGCTTCTAATTCCAATTAGAAGCGGAGTTATTTTGATTCTAAAGTTGCAAAAGCGCCAAAAAAGGGCGTGGTCAATTGCGCAAAACTGCACCATAGCCAAAATTTCTACCCAAGCCAAATTTGTTTCTAATGGGTCCCTTGAGGTATTCCAAGTCTCAAACCCCGGGGCGGAAGTTATATAGACGGGAATGTCGTCAGATCCATGACTATTGGTTTCTAATTTAATTAGATGCAGTAATTAAATCCAAAATTATGATCCGTGCAAATTGAACCGGAGATTTGTACACTGGTCTAAAATTAAGTTCTGCAATTGTCATGTCATTACTTCTTTTTTATGGAAATCTAGGCACGTGCTAGCGTTCGAGTTATTATTGAGTTAAATCATAAACACAGGCACGCTTTAGGGTGTTGTAATTCCCTATGTTGTAACTCGACTTATAATTACCGTACAATTTTAAAACCTCTAAAAAACTCTTGCGTTACAGAAGAACAGTTGATGTACCAGTACCGGGTAACAGGCAACACAAGATACCGGGATTACGCCTCCGAAATGGATCTAGCCTCTTGTAAGGACTATAACGACTTTAAGTTGCCTCAATATATAAACAGTCGTCCCTAATTGTTACGCGAGTCAGGTTGTGTTGTTTACCATGTTTTAGATCTAAGTTATGGAAGTGTTGAAAAAAAGTGAGCCGATTTCAGATGGCCGAATTTGGGCTCTTATTTTGAATGGGTTCTTGTTTTTTTAGTCCCACAATCTTAACAACGTTTGGGACTTAAATTGTTCAATACTGATGCAACGACTTTTATTCATTGCTTTCTTCATTTTCCCCTCCCACTTCCTATCATGAAAACTCTGGTGTTAAGATTTTAGTTTGCAGTGGATAACCGAATCCAAATGTTGGGTTTGGAAAGTGGTGGTTTATTTCAAAATCGCGTTTGGCGTTTCATCTGATTTGTAATCGCTCTTAGTCTTATTTTTCAGATGTATTATCCGAAATATTTGGCTACCGTTTATGTTTGAAAGTTTGACCGATATTGTATAACTGTATAATATAAGAAATTGAAATTTCTCTTGTAGTAAAGTCTTTTTCGTCTAACCTCCTTGAAGATTTTGAATTTAATAGTGTATACCAGTATACTGTTTGGGCGGTATCTTGAATTTTCGCCAAAAGCAAAACACAGAAGCAACCCAACTGTATTCTTCGGGATTTTTACTTCCAAGTTCCAGTACCTTAATTTGGTTTCATACCATAATCAATTAACTGACTAATTGGTTTCTGGGCAAAAAGTTCATCCAATCTGACATTTTCACATTTGAAAATGGGACAGAAATTGGAAAATACAAATTTTTGTTTTGTTAAGCTCTCTGCTGTGAGCTTCCTCAGATCGAAATCAAACTTCCAGCACCTCAATCGTTACATATGCCATTTATTATTGACTGACTAATTGGTTGCGGGTGAGAAACTCAGTCAAAACTGTAAATTTTCTGTCCTGGAAATTTCATCTTCAAAAACTGAAAATGGGACAGAATTTGGGATAATATGATTTTTCAATTTTCTTCGCGATTTTGACTTAATTTGGTTTCAGACAGAAATTAGAAAAATGTATTTTTGTTGTACCTCAATTTGGTTCTCAGAAAACCTTACCGGCTCAGAAAACCTTACCCGCTGGGTTATGGATAGCTTCGGGGTTATGGTTAGGGTTAGGGTTAATTGGGATTAGGGTAAAAACCGTTTTGTACGGCTGCAAAACCATAAAAACCAAAGTCACGTGAAATTTTTGGGCGAGCGAATTAGTAAGAGCCACGAAGTAGTGCGCGCCGGGCCAGACCATTAACAATGGTCAAAGATTCGATACGGCGGAATGACAGGCTGAGCGCCGCGGCCAGTTTGTAGCGTGATGCGTTACTGGGTTAACGGGTGATACTCTTAAAATATTTGTAGCGCGATGCACTACTGGGTCGCGCGCGCATCTAATAATGCTTCTCGCGGCGAGATGCACCACTGTGCCTCACCGAGCTGCGAAGGATTGACATCGTGAATCAAGTAAAATATCTGTTCCATATATTCTCGCTAGATCGGCGAAATGCGCTACTCGGCCTCGCCGAGCTGCGATGAATTGACATTGGACATCGTCAATTAACGCACATGCAGTATATAAGTATAACGACGAGTCCAACTCGGCGCGCGTTTTTATAGTTGGTATTGTATTTTGATTGTAAACCTTCAACATTTTGCAAATACAACTTGTCCAATATGATATGACCGTGTTTTGGTTACCCCTCTTTCCACTTTCAATGCATAATTTGGGTTTCGATATTCATACTGGGATAGTAGAAATTAGGGCTATATCGGTTTTCTCCTTTTACAACTGGGTTTATTAAGAAGCATTCAATTTTGTATAATTATGTATTGTTTCGATATAAGTTTGTAGGTTTACAACCTACCAGGACGCGCGCCGAGTTGTCGACTTGTCGACGGTCAATATATGGAACAGATATTTTACGAGTATCACCCGTTAAATATAAGTATAACCATATTTCACACTTCCCACCACACAGTGATGATTAGCTATCAATTGACCCAGAATTTCTAGCAGAAAGCACCATTCTAACCATGCATCACGCTTGGTGTCCCTCTCCCGGTAGTGTTCAGAGGAAAACCACCTGGTAGCGGTTTTCCCTGACCCCAGAACATGGGTTAATGTACACAATGACTCGGGCTATATATATATACTAGCCAGGATGTGTTTGACCATGCACAGTGTACCCCGGGTCGAGGATTTCTCCGGCACAAGAATTAGCATTACCTGCAGAGTCCTCCGCCGTGTATCGTCACGGCCATACTTGACCATTGTTAATGGTCTGGCCCGGCGCGCAGTACTTCGTAGCACTTGCCGTCGGGCCATTTCGAGAAGAAAGCGGCGCGCGCTACTTCGAAGAAATTTAGACAAGTAACATCCGTCAAGGCCATACTAGAAGGGTAATTCTAGTCCTGCTTGACCGAAAAGGGTGTTAATTCTTAATAATAATAGTAATACTTCGAAGAAATTTAGAAGAGTAATATTATATAACATTTGTCAAACCACAACTTGCAGTGATAATTTAATTGTATATTATTATTATGCATAATTCTTGATTTACGAATACGATGTCAATAGTAAATTTTACTAATTTGCTTGCCCAAAAATTATCACGTGATCTTTGGTCTTTATTGTTTTGCAGCCGAACAATACGGTTTTACCATTTACATAAACCCTAATCCCGAAACTATCCACATAACAACCCTAACCACAACTCGAGCCCTGAACAATAGAATTCGTGTTTTACTAGCCTGTCACGTGACCAAAATAGTTTTTCCCATAACTCTCCAGGGAAGCATGTTTACCCTACGTCATGGGGATGATTCGGAATCAGCGTCCAACAATACACAAAACAAGATTACTTTCATATCTTCATGCAGAGCCTTTTCACAAGAATTTGTTTTAATTTGGGCGACGATTTCAGATTTAGTGGGATCAGGTCTTGGTGCTTAGATCGTCAAATATTTAGAACAAATATTTTACCAGTATTGAGTATGAATCGAGTATAATCACCCATTGAGCTCAAATACGATACTGGATACTGTCATATCACATATTTCTCCGTGAAATGACAATACTAGTAGGTTTTGTCTAGTAAAACTAGTAGGTTTTGTTGTTTGTCGAGAGGAAAGTGATTTTATAGTTAACGATTTACCGGTGAATTTTGGTCCACCACATTCTGGGACTAATTGAATTGGATTTTGAAGACAAACCCCGTTGATGGTATTCAAGTAGCCCGTGTCATACAAGGAAGCCGAAAGTTTGTGGTTTCCCTATCGAGTTAAGCTCTGAACTATCAACTGCTCTGCAAGCAGTATGCAGTACAGAAACAAGAAAGTGAGCCCAACGTGCGAGACAGTTCACCGATCGCACTTCTTTGGCAAGCACCCTTTAGCTATTTTCAGAACCCTACGTAAGATCGATTACACCTCGACAAGGTGTATTGAAATCTCAGTCTAGATGATAGATCTAGGAGCTAACAGTAGCGTCACAAAACCAGACAATATATTCAGACTTAACATACATTGTCTACTCTGGAGTAATGTAATTGAACATTGATACTGATAGAGATTTAATTGAAGTCGTACTATCAGTAGTTTCCTAAATAGGCTTTTGGTATTGATTGGAAAATAAATTGATCATAATTTCATTAGTTCCGTGGCACGTGGGTCACCCAATACTAATTTCAAAAATTCACCAACTAGAAAACTTTTTTTCATCTCATACCAAGCCCTCGAACATTAGGGGCCATCTACTTAGGAAGTCCGGCAAATAGGGAGGGGGGGGGGGGGGGGGGGGGGGGGGGGGGGGGCTGGTTTTGGAATTTCGGACAAATCCGGACGGGGGAGGTGTGGTTTCTGAAAATCCGGACATTTTGGCAGAATTAACGAAAAAGTCCCATTTATTTCAACTCTTTGAATTTTATTTCAACTCTTTGAATTTTATTAACAATGAACTTGAGTTGGTTTTATTTGCACTCTTAAAAGTAGTTGGAAATCCGGGGGAGGGGGGTGGTTTTGAAAATTCGGACACACCCGGACAGGGGGTGGTCTGAAAATCTGCGATTTTGGCGGACGTCCTAAGTGAAGGCCCCTGAGCACATTACAACATATGCTTCCATGGCCAGATGAAGATATGTGGGGGGGGGGGGGGGGCACCCCCAGAGATGCATGTTGCATAGCATGTACGAAAACTTCAACACACCCCGTACTAAAGTTACCTTAAATTAAACAAAATTCGATCAGATTTACCTGTAAATTGTGAAGAGTTCTAACTTTCTAATAAATGCCTGGAGGCTATAACGTGCAAGATAGCGCGAGTGGTTTTTCAGAGGAAACCACTGAGTAGAGGCTGTGAACAAGTAAATGTTTGAGGACAACTACTAGTGGTCAATACCAGAATACTATACCCTCTGGGAAATTAAGGTGACAAATTTTCGACAAGCTATTCAACGGTAACGTTGTCAAAATGCGTGCCCCTCAAAGAACAATAACAAAAGAATATTTCCACATGGTAAAATTTGCTAAAAATTTATCGTCCGTACTAACTGTTGAACACTTGTATAGTACGCATGGCGGCGCGCGTCACGTCTTCGACCCGAAACATGGCACAATTTGTCGCAATTTTGTGGCGGGAGAGCCGAAAAGCGTGCTTCTGAAGCGTGGTGCACTTTAGAGAAGGTGCGACGTAATATGGTGCTTAGTGGCAGGACAATGGTGAAACGGACCGAGTGCAAATAACGGTCCGGAACACTGTGCTAATTATCAATTAGGGGTGATGTATTTACAACATGGGAGCTACAGACACGACAAGCGTGTGTTGAGGGGGAGGGAGTGTGTCGGAACACGGTTGGAGAAGCCAGACATTGTGGCGCCACGCTCTATTTTCTCTCTTCCCAACATCTGGGAGAGGTTTATTGTGTTCTTTTGATTAAAAAGTGTGGCGAATTTGTTTTCCGAGAATTTTCCAGAGTGAAGTGAACCAAAGTTGAAGTTTAAATTCAATTGTTAATATCGTTGGGTGGAAACCGCTTCTTACTTTCTTACGCTCAATTGAATTCAAATGGAGAGAATCCGAATTTTATGATTATTCTAGATAAAAGAACGCCCGAAATTCCAGTGCCGAATCTGAATTAAACAACAATACACAAAACAATGTGCTTACCAGAAAAATAATAAATGCAGTAGAAAGAAAACGAATCATAACAATAAACGAATGCAACAAAGCCCAACAATAGCGACTTTTGAATCTTTTCAGCAGATAAATTGAACCGGGATACTTTCCGGCACCAATTATACCTTAAAGCTTGTCCAGCGGGGCGAAAAATAAACAATAAGCTAATTCCCAATGCGATTGTGTCTTTTGATCGAAGTTTCAATTTGTGTGTCACGTGATAAGGTTTATAGAATAGAATGAATGGAGTGCGAG